CTAAGTAGGTTAAAAGAATAGAGAAGATCAGGTCGGGAAAGAGCCCTCTGAAGAGTAACATTTATGATGAACTTTGAGCATTTATAATACTTTACTATATAGTTAAGGCTTTAAAATATTAAAACAATTGTGGAGTTTTTATTTAGGGTTTATTTTAAATTACAGTGCATTTACTTTTAAGGTGAAAATAGCTTTTTCAGTGGCATGAATTAAATATAAAACTAAAAACTTAGGCATTCACCATAAATCACGTTGTTAATATTGTTAACCTATCTTAATATTCATGAAAGTGATAGTGTAAAGATCTTAACAATCCTAAATAAAAGTTTTTACTAAACTAGGTAAAACATTGTAACCAAACTCTTGAGAGTTTTGATTTTAGGCAATCAGTAATTTAGCACTGCTTTATTAAAATATGTTAGAGATTAATTAACCTTAAAGCTAATGTAAATAGTAATTTTTACTTTGCAAAAGGTATTTTTATTGTAGCCTTGTATGTGTGTTTGTCTTCAGCTAATGAGGAAAACGGTTGATATGCATAATTCTACAATGTCAAGGAATCTATTTAATTTGGGAGTATTTTTTCTTTAATAATGATTTAGGCTGTGACAATGAAATTCTTTAACATCTGTGTTTACTGATCATTGTGATTTAATTAAAAAGTTACAGTTATACCATGGAAGATAAAGACATTTGAAGATGCAGTTTTATTTGAAAATTTTGTAGTAAGGGTTAGGTTAATAATGAAGTATTTTTTCTAGCTAATATGAACTAGAAAACAAATGCAATGTATACTATTCTGAGTTATAAACATATAGAATGTCTCCTAATATATTGTTCAAATGCACCGTGTGAAGAAAGGTTAAGGCTTATGGAATTCTTTTTTTTTTTTGTACCCACTTAAAACCACCAAGATCTGCTTGATGCTCTATACCAGCATCATCTGATAGAAATATAATGCAAACCTCATACTTAATTTAAAAATATGTTGCAGGCATATTTTTAAAAAGTTGGAATTAATTTTAGTAATACATTTTACTTAACCAAATATGTCTAGAATTTTTTTTATCTTGTTACCTATATAGCAATGAATAAGTTATTTTTACATTATCTTTAAATAGTAAGTCTTTAAAATCCAGTGTGTATTTTACATTTACGGTACAAGGCAGTTTGGACTGACTACTTTTCAAGTGGTCAGAATGCGATGTTACTATAATTAATTAATGAATTAATTCTGTAATACCATTTCTGTTATAGTTTGTTATTTTATCCTTATTTGTTATGTAAAACAAGAGGCAGGTACAATGGTCAGCAAACTTTCAAAAATGGTGTGTAAGGTTCTGAAGTGGTAATGTCTATATAGTTGGATAGACACTGGTGACTGTGTGACTGTGTTTGAGAAAATTGGAGTCAAAGTTGGTAGTTGTGAGCTACCCAAGGGGGATCCCAAGACCACCCTGAGGCTTGATGATTTGCTAGAAGGACACAGAAATCAGAGAAAAGCTGTTAAACTCCTGGTTTATAACAGCAAAAAGATACACGTTAAAATCAGCAGAGGGAAAAGGGTACATAGGGTGGAGTTCAAGAGAAACCGGGTGTGAGTTTTCAGTTATCCTCTCCTAATGGAGTTGCATGGACAGTGCTTCATTATTCCAGCCACCTTGTATGACACCATGTGCAAAGTGTTGCCAACTGGGAAAGCTTACCTGAGACTTGGCATCCAGAGTTTTTATTGGGGATCAGTTGCACAGCCATAGAGGTACTCACTTGACTATCTTTAGTTTCTCAGTCTCCCGCTTCCCTTATTCCTCGTCAAACTGATATAGTGTGGCCCAAAGCCCCAGGCATACAAAAACAGACATTTACCATAATTCACATTATTAACATAAATTATCTAGTGTGGCCCAAAATCTCAGGTATAGAAAGAGACTTATCAGGCACGGTATTCCAAGGGCTCAGAGGTTATCTTCCTAGAGGTTGTCACAGGCAAGTCCTGTCTTTGGTATGTGCAGAGTTTGAGCCCCCCAAGCTTATAGAGTTACCCTTTACTGCATAGGATGATTCTGGAGTCTTACAAAGGAAAGTGTCTCTAGTGTAAATTCTTACAGAAACAAAAGGGTAGATCATATTGGCAATAGCTCAGTTCACCTTAAATATCTAATATCTTTTAAACAAGTGGCATGGATTACTGACGGTCAAGGTAGAGTATATAAAGGCTGACAGGAGAAGTAAAGACTGGAGCACTTAGGACAGCCCCAAAGTTCTAGGCTTCTTAGTTGGAATCAACTCTTATAGTTTACTGACTGCCTCTTATAAATTCACCTTGCTTGGTGAAATATATATATTATCTCTTCTAATCCACATCTAAACCTCCGTTTCTGCCTGTGACAGAGCAACTTGTATCCAAGTAAGCCTCCTGCTGAGAACTGCTTGAAAAGCTAGAGAGAAAAATAGTCTCATGGTGTTGTAGAGCTTCTGAGTCTGTCAAGACTTGAGGAGTCAAGATTCAGGAGAGAAGGGAGATAGACATATTCTATGCTGGCTTCCCTTTTAAGGCATTTTTTAACTCTTAAGGTGTTTTGGATAAGAGGATAAAAGATGAGCAGTGTATAAGAGATGAGCAAAAAGCAACTGTGAGGAAGTTGAGTGGAGCTTTCAGTAGTTTGTTCTTGTTGTTTTTCTGGTCCTAGGTTTGCAGTTGGAATCCTTTGAAGGGCCACACTATAAGAGTGGGAACAAATCAGAGTAGGCCAATCTTTACAGTGTCTGAAACTCAGTCTTAAGCCAGCTCAGTCCCTCATTGGATTGAGCTGATCTGCTCCTACTCTGCTTGCTAGAAAAAAAACTAAATCCTTCTCTGGAAGAAGGTAACTTCATCCAGAGCCTTTGCATTTTTTTCCATACATATTTTCATGCATTCATTCACATACAATGTGTAGCATTCAATAAAAAATTACTAAGCATACAACAGGACCAACATAGAAAAATCAACGTTAGAAATAGGTTATGCAGGTTATCCATAGGTTATGCAGACTTTGGAGTTACAGATGAGAGCTTTAAAATACCGTAACTAACCTATTCATGAAAATATATGGTGAGGTGGAGAATTTCATTAGAGAACTGAAACCCATAGAAAAGAATCAAATAGAAATTCTAGAACTAAAAAATATAGTAACTAAAATTAAGAACACAATAGATGAGTTTAACTGCAGATTGGACACAGTTGAAAAGAGGATTAGTCAGCTGGAAGATAAGTTAGTAGAAAGTGTTCAGAAACATAGATTTGTCTTTTTGGTGTTATGACCAAACTAAGCCTAAGAAATAGGAACTTTTAAATATCTCACCAGAATATATCTCTTCCTTAGAGCCCATGAGTGAATTAGAGTGTAGTTAAAACTTTTGCTAATTTAATGTGCTATATTTTTATATTTTTGCTATAGTGGTTTTGTTTTGTAAATAAGTATGTAAAATGGAGTTGGTAAAATATCACTTATAAATTTGTACTGATACCCTCCCCTCCAGCCGTTGAGCAAACAAAAACTATTCATAATTAGTACCTTATGCAGAGTTCACTTGTTCAGCACACTCAGCTACTTAGAATAGAGCCTTAAAATGAGAAAATAAGCAAAATACCTCCAGATTCAAAATAGATATCCAGAGCTGGGTGGTAAAACATGTATTTTAGCATAGGGGAGTTATGAGGCCCTTAGTCTTAGTTGGGCTAATGGTTATAATATGCTTGATAATCTGATAAACTAGCTCACCACAAGTAAAAATTGTAAATTAGAGAAGAAGTTATGGGGGCCGCCCCTGTGGCCTAGTGGTTAAGTTTGGCGTGCTCTGCTTCGGTGGCCCAAGTTCAGTTCCCAGGCACAGACCTACACTACTTGGCGGTGGCCATGTTGTGGCAGCAACCCACATACAAAATAGAGGAAGATTAGCACAGATGTTAGCTCAGGGTGCATCTTCCTCAGCAAAAAAAAAAGAAAAAAGTTATGGGTAAATTATTGAGGAATTGGTTTTGGCAGCATATGCCTTCTTTGGTCATATCTAAGACTCCACTATGAATTGTACCATTGGTGTATGTACCACTTAGAAAAAAAGCTGTCAATTATGTTTTGACATCCCATTAATTGTGAGATATATCCTGATGTCAGAGATGTTAAAATGTGAGGGAAAAAGTAAATGGTAATTCTAGTTTTAAATATCAGTTCTATCGTTTATTGTTTGTTTGACTTCAGTCAGGGAACTTCTTTGAGCTTGTTTGCTTGTTTTTGAAAATGGGATAGTGTAGTCTACTCTTTAGAATTAGGAAGACTAAATGAATTAAGACATGTGAAAGTGTCTAGTATGGGGTAGATATTTGATACCTGTTAATTTGGCTTTCATTTCTTCCTTCTAAAACTTGGCATTGTTATGATAGTAGGAAGAGACTCCTGACAGCTGACCAAGAGAAAAAACAAAAACAAAAACCCATTATATTGGCTAATTAAGAACTTAAAAAAGAAAATTCCTATTGGAGCTATTTAATAAAGTGTCAAACATCATTCTTTATTCTCTTTCCACCCCCTCTTCACTCCTCCCATCCCCCCACTTATATCTAAAGATATCACTGACTGGTTCCAATATGATGATTGATATTTATAATGATGGAACCTACACATCGACACAATGTTGATATTTTCACTACATTGGTTTTTTTAAAAGCACGCTTTAGGAAAATTTCCGATCCTTCTAAATTTAGTTGTGGTGCTTAAAATCTCCGTGTTTAGTTTTGTAGAATTCGTGGTCCTCTGATGATGCTGTATAAATGTATCACTAATCAAAGTAAGTGGATCTTTTAAGGAAGGGGTTATAGATTTTGTGATGTTTGGCGGAAGTGAGAATTACTCATTATATTCCTATTTTGAAGATTCCCAGTAAACCCAGAGTGACAGTTTTCTTGAGCTGCAAAATATTCATAGCTTTAATCTTGTGTTCATTCTGTTCTGTTCTTTCAGGATATTTCAAGTCACATTTAATTGATAGGATGAAAAAATTTAAGAGAAGACTATCCCTCACGCTTCGAGGAAGCCAGACTATTGATGAATCATTGTCTGAATTGGCTGAACAAATGACTATTGAAGAAAACAGCAATAAGGATAATGGTAAATATTTGCGGGGGTGGGAAGGGGAGGAGAGATGCTTCCTACGTTTAATTGCTTTATAAATAGAAGGTAAATTTGCTTTCCTGATTAGTTCCTAATAGCTTCCTTTTGTTTCTCTGTCTCATTCCCTAGTTCTTAGGAAAGAGAAAACTACGTGACTTGCTTGCTTACTTACTGGAATGTTCCACTCTTACTCCAACAGTGTTACTATCCCTGGTCTCTAGCCCTAATGAATTCTCCTATCCCATTTATCTTTCCATTTTTCATTGGTTCTTAAATAAGAATCCTTGTATAACACTATCCTAGTTGTTAAGTAACTATTTTTAAATTAACATTTAAATATTTTTATTAGTCTTATAACTTAATACAGCTTAAATGTACATAGTAAGTCTGTGAAATTGAGGTTTCATTATAGTTTTATAGCATTATACATGCATATTGACTATCCACCTAGATGACAAGGTTCATCACATGACTGAATCTTACTATTTTCTTATCTTATGTTTACTGCAGAGTCTGTTCATTGTATGGAGAGCACTTACAGTAGATAGGCATACAGTAGTCCCCCCTTATCCTTGGTTTCATTTCCTGTGGTTTCAGTTACCCCTGATCAACCGCAGTCTGGAAGCAGATGATCCTCCTCCTAACTATCGTCAGAAGGTCAATAGTAACCTAACACTATGTCATAATTCCTGTCATTCACCTTACTTCATCTCATCATGTTGGCATTTTATCATCTCACATCATCATCAGAAGAAGGATGAGTATAGCAGAATACGATATTTTGAGATAGATATATAACTTTTATTACAGTATATTATAATAATTGTTCTATTTTATTATTAGGCATTATTAATCTCTTACTGTGCCTAATTTATAAATTAAACTTTATCATAGGTATGTACAGGAAACAACAGAGTATATATAGGGTCTGGTATATCCACAGTTTCAGGCATCCACTGGGGGTCTTGGAATGTATCCTCTGAAGATAAGGGGGGGACTACTGTATAATGTTTCAAATATTTTGACACTTCTTTCTACAATATAAAGTAGTAGTACACAAGTTGATATAAAATAAAAAGAGCTTGTTAAATTGAATGGATTAAAATGCAAAATTCTGATGAAATTTATAGAACAAAGCTACCTATTCAAAACTGAAATAGCCCTAGGGATGTCATAATAATAACTAAGAAGGAGCTTACAGGAATGGCTGCCAGTGTATCATGATGTGCACATCTCTGGCAAACCTTCCTTGCCTGTGCCTGAAATTCTTCTGTTAGAGATTTGTGGCAGTGGGTGAAAGCATGAATACCCTCACCCCCTCCAGCTGAATGCACATGTCCTTGTTGTGAGAGAGGGAAAGGTATAATGGAAAGAGCTCTGGACTTTAAGTTAAAAGTCATGGGTTGGAATTTGGGATACACTTAGAAACTTACTAGTTTGCATTACTCTGGGTAAGGAATTTATCCTGCCCAAGCTTCAGTTTATCTCTTTTCCTCAGAAGGGTCATTATTTACTTAGGGTTATCTGGCTCATTGTAATATGGGAGAGGAGACATAGATGAATTCAGTAGAAACTTTAATAATTTGGATATAATTTACTTATATGTAGGAGGGAAACATTTTGCATTTGGGTCAAATCTCAAAGATGATTTATAATGTTTTACTTTTATTCCTCTTGCCAGGAGCAAAATCATTAATTTCTCTCTCATATCCTCTTTGAATTCTTGGTATTAATTAAGCCCCATGTGGTCGTTCTTATGATGAAAGAGTCTTGCTAGCTATTTGCCAATGATGTTCAGGAGTAAAAGAAGCACATACATCTTGATAGATGGTTTCTGGGACACGTTCTTAACTGGTATTTGACTACAAGAAAACCTCTCCTTTAAAAAAAAAAGAGTGTGAGTCAAAGAAGTTGCACATACTTTTTGGAGAGCTAATTAATATTTTAGATTAACTACATATTTTCTAGAATATTTTAGTATTAACTGTCTTAAAACATGCTTAATATATAATGAATGGTGAAACATGGAACATATTTTTTCAAGTAGTACATATTGTTTACTTTATTAAAACTTCTTTTATTATAATAGTAACATTAACAGGTAGTAAAGAAGAGAAAATAGCTATATTGAGTTTCCTCTTAACCTGAGTTACTTGAAATAATACTTGAAGATGTCGTAATAGACATTGATTCCTCTTGGGTCGCAGAGACTGTTGATAGCATAGGCTCTCTCTGAGTTATAATCTGCTATTGCTTATTCCCTATGTGAAACAGCACATCGATTTCACCAACAACTTTGACGAAGATTTATACCTTTTTGGTCATCTGTCAGTGCCTGATAGCTGGTTCCAACATATTCTTTCTTTATGCAGTTTATCTTAGAGCATAAAAAGCTCCTAAGATAGGTGACACACACAGTCCATGTTTGAATATGGTTTAATGAATGAGAAGTGGTAGATTATACTTTTTAAATGATCTTCTCACATATGATGTAACCAGCTTGTGAAGCAAGTGATCTTTGCCTAAACAGCCCTGTAGTGGCAATGCTAGCTTAAAGAGGAGGAAGAATATAGTTTATGATTTCCCTAAGTAAACAGCCTTTGAACCAGTTTTTGATCTCTTGTCTCTTCTTCAGTCACATGCATGAGCACAGTTCTGTTACTCTTGCATTATATCTAGTCAGGTGCCTCTCATGCATACTCTAGAACAAATTGAATGGAGAAGTACACATATATGGGGATAATACTATAAAAATCTTAGAAAAATTATGATGCATATGATGCATTAAGTTATACACGTATGCACATACGCTCTCCCTCATACATATTCTACCCCCATCCAGATAGAATTTGAGCTATTATCTTTGTCATTTTGATAATTGAGTCATACTGTGAAGGCTTTAACTCAGTTATAAATGTAATAAGAGTTCACATTCGCCTGTCTAGATAAAGTAGTGTGTTTGCACATTGATAGGTGGATTGAACCCAGGGAAAGAGGAATCTTTTTTTTTCAGGCCCTGCCACGGGCCAGTAGGAATCTTGAGTTTATATTTAGTATATTAAAAATAAGTTGGAAGTTTGCAAACTTGGTTGATTTAAGCATACTGGCCTTAACTCAATACAGCTTTTCTAAATATGAAAGGAAATTTTTGCACAAAAATTTGCAAAGTGAGGTGTAAGAAATATTTTTTCGAAAGTACTTTCAAGGGAAAAGAATTCTGAGCACATCAGATTATTTTAGTAACCGCGAAGCTAGTGAATATTTAATTTTTTTAAAACGGTCAAAAATTTATTCATCTTAGTTCCTCAAAAGCTGGAAATAGAATTACAGTATGACCCAGCATTTCCATTCCTAGGGATATACCTGAAAGAATTGAAACAAGTATTCAAACAATACCTTTTACACAACTGTTTATGTACATGGCAGCACTATTCACGGTAGTCAAAGGTGGAAACAACCCAGATGTCCATCAACAGATGAATGTATAAACAAAATGTAGTATATTCCTAGAATGGAATATTGTTCAGCCATAAAAAGGAATGAAATACTGGTACATGCTATAATGTGGATGGACCTTGAAAACTGAAAGAATCCAGACCCAAAAGGTCACATATTCTATGATTCCATTTATATGAAATATCCAGAATAGGTAAATCCGTAGAGACAAAAAACAGATTAGTGGTTGCCGGGGCCTCAGGAGAGGGAGAATGGGGAGTGCCTGCTTAATAGGTACAGGGTCTCCTTTGGTAGTGATGAAAATATTTTGAAACTAGATAGAAGTGATAATTGCACAACATTGTAAATGTACCAAATGCCGCTGAGTTGTACACTTTAAAATGGTTAATTTTATGTTATATGAATTTCAACTCAATAAAAACTTAGTTCATCTGAGAAATACCTTTTCCTCATAGATTCTCAATTTGCTTGGTAAAAGTCTTAATATTATTTTAGACATATCACAGAAAATTATGATATTTCAGGATCTTTAAGTAGGTAGCCTTACTCTATAATGAGAAGATATATTGAAATTATTTAGTTTGATGAGGAGGATAGGTGACAATTTAAATATGATGGAGAAACTAGATCATAATTATGGAAAGGCAAAAATAATGTTTTGTTATACTGTTTGGGGCTTCTGAGTGCAGCTACAACAAAAGTTACTTCTTTTGACACAGCTGGAATCCTTCAACTCTGAAGAGGAGCTGCATTTTCACGTTCGCAGGAAGTGTAGCAAAACAAACTTAACTGAGTATCACTTCTCATGATTATTTAGGATCTGAAGTAACCCCAAAAGGTGAAGATTGAAATGGTCAGGTTTTCAAGATATTCCAGTTTCCTGTCCTTACTCCTCAGTCAGTGCACTGGGGCAGTTTATCATTTTGTTTGGAGTCAACAAGCTGAGTTCTGTGGATATTATGAGACTTCGTCTTACTCCTGGGTTTCTTCCTGTCTCCTGCTGATCTGATACATGGTAGCAGTGACAGTTTTTGACAATAGTGGTGACACGGGGGTTGTAAGTAGTGCTAACTCATACAGATAGCACAAGGTCCGTGAGAGGGTGAGGTTGAAAGCACAGACTTCATTGGATGTATATAGGGTCTGGAATAGGATCAGGCTAATAATAGTGTTTAAAAGAGCAGGATTAGGAACAAGGAATGAGTAAGGCTACAGATAGGGCTAAGAAATTTCGTGTTCCTGATCATAGTAGTTCACATAATCAGAAGATCACATAATCAGAATAAATAAGATGCCAAATAAATTTCTTAGTGGAATCATGATTGCCATGTCATGATGTTAAAAATCATTGGAAATCCTTACTAGGAACTGATTACTTTTTAGAATAAGAAAGATCTACTGCAGATGTCCATATGGATTTCCATTGCTTTTTAAAGAATATTATAAAATACGTATAACCTATAATTTACTTTTTTGAACTGTATTAACTTTTTTGAAATGTACAGTTCTAGTGGCATTAGGTACATTCACATTGTTGTGCAACCATCACCACTGTTCATCTCTAGAACTTTTTCATCATTCCAAACTGAAACTCTGTACCCATTAAACAATAACTCCCTGTTCCCGCCCCTTGGCCCCTGGTAACCACTATTCTACTTTCTGTCTCTCTGAATTTTCCTTTTCATGTAAGTGGAATCATACAATATTTGTCCTTTTGTGTCTGACTTATTTCACTTAGCGTAATGTCTTACAGGTTTCTGTACTTTTTAAAATACAGAGTATTATCTTACTAAACTGTCCAGTTAATTGCTGTCATAATCTTGAAATGTTAGAATATTTTATGATTCTCTCCTGGGCCACATTCTCTTCTCTATTTGCTCTCCTTGGGTGACCTCATCCAGTCCTATGATTTCAGCTACTGTGTATACATGGTGACTACTCCTAAATTTGTATCTCTGATCAGGATTTTTGTCTGGATTTCTAGATTCATATCCAAATGCATAGTTGGCTTCCCCACGTAGATGTCTAATAGGAGTCTCAAACTTAATATGACCACACTAGAATTCTTGATGTCCTTCCCTCAAAATCTGCTTCTACTCCAGCTTCCCTCACTTAACCTGAATAAAACAAACAAAATAGATACTGCTAAAAATCCAGGAATTATCCTTGATTCTTTTCTCTCCTTTACCTTTCTGTTCTTTTTTCCTACTCTGCCATTTTAGCTTACTATATATTTACTACATAACTTTTAAAAACTCACTATTAATGATAGTCATTTATATACTTGATACATGATTCCAATTACTGTCCTTTCACATATCCTATTTCATATATTTTTAACAGTTGCTCTGGTGGAGATTTAAAAATTTTCTTTTGGCAGATGTTTTTAATATAGGTCTTCGCTAAAAGCTGAGTGGGAGAATGTGTGTGAAAGTCATTTTGCAGCCATGTCTGCGGACCTTTTGGTTCTGCCTTTTTGGTTCTGTAATATATCCTAAACCTGTCTGTTTCTCTCCATCCTAGTTCAGGCCAGCATCATTTGTTGCTTACGGTGTTATACCACTCTCCTCCTTCTGTTTCCCTTCAGTTGATTCCCTATCATCTGTTCCCCCACAGCATCCATAGGGATGTTTAAAATTTTTTTTTTATTTTTAATAATTATAGATTCAAAGGAGGTTGCAAAGATAGTACAGAGATGTCCCTTGTACTCTTCTCTCAGTTCCCCCCTTTGGTTACGTCTTCTGTAACTATAGAACGTTATCAAACCCGGGAAATTAACATTGGAATAAAGTGTGAATATAGTTCTATATCATTTTATCACACATGTAGATTTTTGTATCCACCACTACAATCAGGATAAAGAGCTATTTCATTGCCACAAAGAGATCCCTCTCATGCTACCTGTTTATAGTCATCCCCACCTCCTTACCTCCCACTATCTCTGACCACTCAGTCATATTTTTAAAACATGAATCAGATCATATTGCTACCTGCTTCAAAGCTACCATAGCTGCTTTCAATCTCATAATAAAATTCAAACTTTTATGGTGATGTGCAAACCTGCTTATCTCTCTGACCTCACTTGATCACACTGTTCCCCACGTAATTACATACCACAACTACACTTGCCACCTGTCTGTTGCTCTACACGGTGGTTCTCAGAGTGTGATCCCCGGACCAACAACAGCAGTATCACCTGGGAATTTGTTAGAGATGCATATTTTCGGATTAAATGCCAGACCTACTGAATCAGGAAGTCTGGGGGTGGAGCCCAGCAATCTTGTGTTTTAATAAGTCTTTGAAGGTGATTCTGAAACATGCTAAAGTTTGAGGATCACTGCTCTAACAAGTCAAACTCTGTCACATGTTGGCTTTCGCAGTAGCTTTTCCTTCTGTCTGGAATATCTCGTAACCCATCACTCACCCTCTTCCCATGACTGGCTCTTTCTTGCATTTATATCTCTGTTAACAATACCTCTACGGAAAGAACTTTCCTCAATATCCAGTGTAAAATAGCTACTCATTTATTTTCTGTCACATCTCTTTATTTTAGTCTTTTGTTATATTGTCTATCATTATCTGATATTTTTCTTATTCATTAGTTTCTTATCTGTTTTCCCCTCCATTAGATTTTATAGTCTCAAAGAGTAGTACCTTGTTTGTTTTGTTTACCTCTTGATGCCCAGGGCCTGTAATAGTGCTGTCAAATGGTGCGCAAACAATAATATTCCCTGAATTATTGAATGTTGTTATGATCTCCATTGTTTTTAGCTATATTCCCCAGGACTATAAAGTTATATTCCCCGGGAGAACTTTAGAGAGCAACTAAAACAAGTGTTGTCTATAGGCAGAATGTTTATATATTTTGTTATGATTGCAGATATGAAATATTACAACCTAGAAAGAGAAAAATTTCTTATAGGTTCTAACCTGTATCCCACAGTACTTGTAACCATTTAATTTATGCATTTATGTCAGATACCCCCCTCCCCATTCATTATTAAATTATTGATTATTTTACTAGGCTTAAGTTAAGATCCCCAAATCCTTGATCAGCCAGCTACTGCTGAGGAATGTACAGGTCATGGGACACCTTGGGCAGATATTCTTGATCACTAGTTAGGTACTTCCCCTACCTCCAGTCTGGTGTTCTACCCAGAAGGGTAGATGACCCTTTTGCCCTATCCTCCCTCTCCCCTCTCCTTTTAGGCAGCAATTATCAATAGAAGTGCAGGCCAAGTGGCCTTCTTGGCTCCTTTTTCCTAGGCCCATACCTTGGTCTTGTTCTGTGGATATGAGCCACCCACCCCCTGCCAGCTTGTTCTTGGTGTCTGATAACCTTTACAGGCAGGGGGAATCCCCTCATCAGAACATATCCTAACTCCTGATTATCAGCTACAAAAGAAGAGCTAGATCCATTTTAGAGGAGAAGATATTCAGAGAAGCCTGGTTCCTTTTAAAATTCCTTTAGGGACCTGCCTGGTGGCATTAGTGGTTAAGCTCATGCACTCTGCTTCGGCGGCCCAGGGTCTGCGCATTCAGATCCCGAGCACAGACCTGCACACCACTCATCAAGTCATGCTGTCATACAAAATAGAGGAAGATTGGCCCAGATGTTAGCTCAGGGACAGTCTTCCTCAGGCAGAAAGAGGAAGACTGGCAACAGATGTTAGCTCAGGGGCAATCTTCCTCACCAAAAAAAAAAAAAAAAAAGTGAATTAAAATTCCTTTACTACTACCAGTAAAAACATAATTCTAATACAAAAGACTAATTGTGTGTCACAGAAGACTTCATCATGTCCTTAACCTATATCAGAGCTCTTGTTTGGAGATGGAAAGGGGTCATGAAATTCCCTGTAAACATTACAAAACAGGATTTCCGCCATTTATAGTTAAATAACTTTTAAGTAGTTTGTTTTCAAAATATTTCTGCTTGGTTATAGGTCTGTGATTTAAAAAAAAACAAAACCTCTTTATGTTAAAAATCCCAAATTTAGGGTAATAAATTTTAGAACCTCTATACTGATCTGTACTTAAGTACTCCTGTTTTATTTACCAACTCACATACTTTTTGACTGTCTAGCAAATAGGGATGTAAGTTCTTTCAGGCCAGGACCATGTCTTTTATAATCTGCAGCATGCCTAATCATAAGTCATATATGGGGCAGTCAGTAAATGTAGGAGTAGTATAGAAACAATCTTGAGATATATTAAAATAAGCAAATGGATCAAAAATCTATGGGCTATGTTAGTAGTTTGTGATTGCTAACCAATTTTGTTTATATAAGAGATGGATAATTACTAGACCAATTTCAAATATTAAAGTATTTTCTGTAAGTATTTTTTCATAGAAATTATTTTAATTCTAGTACTTTGTATAGATAGCCAAAGAAATAAGGTTAAATATTATGATCTTTATTATAACCTTTTATTGTTTTCTCTTTTGCTTTCTCAATCCTTCTCATGTGATCCTGGATCTTGGGCTATTAATGGAATGATTTTTGGATACTGTGAACCCCAGAGCCTATTGTGAAGAATGGCAGGCCTCCAACCTCTCACAGTATGCATTCCTTCCTCCACCAGTACACAGGGTCCTTCAAGAAGCCCCCACTACGGAGACCACATAGCGTTATTGGAGGAAGCCTTGGCTCCTTCATGGCAATGCCCAGAAATGGAAGCAGATTAGGTAATTTAATTGTCTATTTTTTTTTAACTTTCTGACTGTAGGTCATGTACATAGCTATGTTTTAGGTATATGGAAGTCAGCCAGTCTTTATTACCTGATTTTTCTTGTAAGATAAAAATCAAGTTGAGAATAAGAGAGATAGCAGAAAGATAGAAGGTTCTAGAAAGGTAGTAGTGCTGACACTACAGAGGAGTAACATTTGAAAACCTATTCACCAGAAAGAAGACAAAACCCTTAAGAGGTGGATGCCAAATTTCAAGATGAATGGCAGCTTAAGATGGTGCGTAATTTAGGGTCATACCTTAGTAATTCCAGATTATCACCATATGATAGCCCAGTGCAATAATTAGTATATATGATTATCACCTGAGTTGTTATTCTTATGTCACCATGTCACTTTAAATATCCAGGAAAAACATGTATCTGCAAGTTTCTTTTTGTTTATTTCTCTGGTCTTTTTTGATGGTATGTTATTTATTTATCATGTTTTGTTTTTTAAAATAATTTTAAGCATAATTATTTTATAGTCTCATAAATATATTTACTGAAGTTTCTGAGGGTTTTATTCTGCTGCTTGCTTAATCTGCTTGTTCTTGCTGTAGTAGATTATTTCCTCGTGTGTTTTGTTAATTTTGGGAGTATAAGCTTATCTACAGTGGGGTTTCATCTATAGGAAACGATCTATGTAGCCTTTATCCCTAGAGGTGTAACCCTATGGAATGGTGTGTTGGAGTTGGGTCACGCTGGTTCATGAGAGATGATTGTTAAATTTTCAGGAATTTCGCAAGCTGGTTGTTAAACCCAGCCATTATTAAAAAATTATATAAACTTACAATTAAGTAAGCTAAATTAAAAACAAAGTTAATGAATACTCAAAAGTCATTATTTCCTAATTATTTTACTACACTTTACTGTTACCTATGCCTTGGGAGTTAGTTATTTCTATCATTATCTGTATAGTTAAACTACTGTGTAATAATATGCACATTTCTTCCCAACTACATGTTCGGTGTTGTTGTGATCGTAGTTTGAATTTGGCCATGGAGGGAGTATTTACTCCACAGAAATTGGAAAACACTTTGGATCGGTCTTGATTTATTGTTTTGTTAATTGTCTAGATCAGGGGTTGGCAAACTTTTTCTTTAAAGGGCCAGATGGCAAATTTTTCAGGTTTTGTGGACCACATATGGTCTGTGTTGCGTGTTTTTTTCTTTTTTAAATAACTTTTTAGAGATGCAAAAACCATAGTTAGCTCAGGGGCCATACAAAAACAGGTCATGTTTGCTGATCCTTGGTCTAAACTTAAGAAAGGGATGTTGAATATGTTAGTAATGCAGATTAAGTTTAAATTATGTTGTGTCTGTAGCTGTTACATCGTGATTGGCACAAAAATTGAGCCATTTGAGAATTAAATATTCTTTTATTACTCAAAAACTATTAACTGACTCAGGAAAGAAATTGCTTACACCAGTTGTCAAAGGAGTGAAGTTTTGACATAGCCTTTATTGTTTCACTTTTGTGTTATTAATGGAAATGAAAATACCAACCAGTATTCATGTTGGAACTACACTTGTTCGTTAATGATGTAAGCAATTTCTTGGTTGAGTCAGATGGTACTCAAGTGTTTATTCATAGTCTGAGATTAACATGCTCCTTTGTAGTCCTTGTGCACTAGGATAGATTTGTTTTTTGTTTTTTTGGGGTTTTTTTGGTGAGGAAGACTAGCCCTGAGCTAACATCTGCTTCCAGTCCTCCTCTTTTTGCTGAGGAAGATTGACCCTGGGCTAACATCCATGCCCAGCTTCCCATACTTTATATGTGGAACACCTGCCACAGCATGGCTTGATAAGCGGTGCATAGGTCCACGCCCGGGATCTGAACCTTTGAACCCTGGGCCACTGAAGCGGAATGAGTGCATGAAGTTAACCACTACGCCACTGGGCTGGCTCCCAGATCTGTTTTTTAAGTCCACCCTTTACTGAAGGATGTAGCTGAGACTTTGAGAGTCTCATGCCTTTCTATAAGAAGGTCTCACTTGTAGCTCAGACACCTGAGGCTTCATCTTTTTTCTCAGTGTGGCAGCTAAACCCAAGCACCTTCTTACCAAGAGCAGCAACCCCTCCCAAGAAAGTGGCAGAGTCAATTTATTCATAATAGCTTTGAGCTTTCAGTTCTTTCTTTGTCTTTGCTTTCTGGGTATTATGCATACATTCTTGCAAACTCAGCTATACATTTTTTAGTATTATATTTTATTCAACATTTCCTCAATCAAGGAAGGAAGATTTGCAGATTTTGCTGGAAATGGAAAGTGTAGTTAAATTATCTTTAACATTTTAAAAGTGTGACAGAAGACTATTTGGCCTCAGATGTGTTGGATACCATCAGATTAGGAATCAGTCACCAATACATTGACTTCTGCTGCCAAGTAAATTTCTTGTTAAGATCTCAGTATAAAAGTTCTCCAGAAATCTCTGTATAATTGAATTATATTCTAAAAGTGCATGTTGATCTATCAAAAACCATTGCCATTTGCAACTGCTTATCAGTGTGTATAAGAATTTTCTCAGCAATGTGTTACCAAGACAAAATACAGAAATGTATGAATTCTAAGACTCATTTGATGAGATCCTTGAATTCAATTTTTTGTTAAATAGTTCTCATATTTTTATAAGCAAATATTGTTCCTTAAAAGTTCAAATTTGTAGTTATAAAATATTATTTGTTTTACATATTGATATTTCATATAACATTTCATTTGAAAGAAAATGTCCAGTTATCTAGTCTGTTCTTTGATTTTTATGTAATATTCAATTCATTGGAATATTTTTTGAGCACCTTCTAAGTACCAGGCACTTTATTAAGTTCTGGGAATACAAAAGTGAATAAGCTAAATCCTGCCCCCAAGGATTTCTTAACTTGTTGTAAAATCACATGAACCAAAAAATGCTCTTCAGTGCAGTAGGTGCAGCCACAGTAGTCATCTGTGTCTGAGAGTAGAAAAGACTCCACTGAGTAATGATGACACATGAGCATAGTTTTGAAGAATAAGTAGGAATTCACCACCAAATTGATAAAATGGGGACAGGCATCTCTTAGAGATAAGAAATGAAAAGTATGTTAAAGTACTGCTGCATGAAACAACATGATGCTTTTTGGGGAATGAATAATTGTATAGAGAGGACTAGTGGCAAGAGATGAGATCTAGCATTTGTTTGTTTCTTGGTGGGCTACTCTTGCTAGATGAATTAGAGGATGATTGAGAAATGCAAATATATGAGCAGGTGTGTAAGTATACAAGTTTGTATTTAATATTCTCAGGTGGAATTAATCTCACTCCCCTCTACTCCTATTTAACTTTTATCCCTATTAAAAAAATACAATAACCCACCTTGTATCATAATTTAAATATGTCTTTGCCCCCAACAGATTTTTGGCAGTCACAAGTTTGTTTTTGTAGTTCTGGTACAAAGTAGATATTCAGTGTATAATTTTTGAATTGTTGTTGTTTTATTTTTTAACATTTGTGGGAGGGGAAGCTGCATGAGCAGCTTTGAAAAAGTATTTTAAAGAATATTCAACGAACTAGCTCATTTGGCTGTAGATTCAATGGCACATTATTTAATAGAAAGAATACTGAACTAAATAAAAGGCAAAAGACCAGGTTTCTATTTTAGCTCTGCCTCTAAACTGTATGACCTTTGAAAAGTCATTTAACCTTTCAACATCTCAGTTCCCAGATCTGGAAGATGAGAGAACTGACTAAATAATCCTCAAGTGTTATTTCTAGTGTATAATTTTATTATTCAATTCTGGATAATAACTTGAATGTTAGTTTTTTTCATAATCTGAGCGTGTAAAAGGATTTCTTACTACTATTTTAAGACATTTGAGTTATGTTTTGATATATTAACTGCACACATCTGGCACCCAGAATGTAAAAGACTTTTTATGCTATGATTTTTATGTGTTGGCCATCTACATCTTACCTGTAGTGATAATAAGTTATATGATATAGTAGCATATAATACATCTTTTCTAAGATAAATAATGTTTCATTTTTTGATACAGATATTGTTCATGAAAATCTAAAAATGGGATCAGATGGTGAGAGTGACCAAGCTTCTGGGACATCATCTGATGAAGTCCAGTCACCTACGGGTGTTTGTCTTAGAAATCGTATACACAGACGGATCTCAATGGAGGTAACCATTTAAAAAACATAAGTATGTGTGCATAAATACACACACATACATATCAAAGTACAGTCATGCATTGCTTAACAGTGGGGATACATTCTGAGAAATGCATCGCTAGGTGATTTCGTCATTGTGCGAACATCATAGAGTAGACTTACACCAAGTTAGATGGTACATAGTCTGCTACATACCTAGGCTACATGGTACTCATCTTATGGGACCACCATCCGTTGTAGACCAAAATGTCATTATGCGGCACATGACTGTAAATGCCTATTTGAAAATTTTCATGAAGGCATATGACACAAGAAAGTTGTTTCTTTGCATTAGTAAAGAGTAGTTTTGTGAATATTTCCTTTCTTCTAATTATCTACTATCCCAAGGCAAGTATACATTAATTATTTTTAACATTCTGCAAAACAGTGAGTAGGATCTCTGCAAGGGAAACGTGAATTTTCAAAAATTCTGGAAATCCAGAATGATACATTAGCAGTCTTCTTTTTAGAAAATATGATTTTAATTATATTTTTTAGATTCATCTGAATACTTCATATTTTATTTTATACCTATTTTATTTCAGATTTCAAAAGGTATACATAAAATAAGCACCAGCTTTTTTTTTTTGCTTTATATTATAAATACGGGTATGATTTTTTTTTTTTTACCAATCTCTGTAGCACATGTAAGTTATTTCTCCATGTAAAAGAATGAAAGCTCATTTCCTTTTCTTTGTCAATGTTATGTATAACCTTGAGGACAAAAGTTGATGAATGTTATCGTTTCAGTATATACTATAGATTAAAATAGTTTTCTTCAAAAAAATTGAATATTTTGAAATAAGAGTATTGTTACTTTTTCATTGCTGTTGAGTTGAGATACTGATGATTAGACTATCTGTCCTATTGGCTGATTGCATTTAAAGATTGCTTCTGAATCAGTTAAGGAAGACAACATCAGTTTTTTAAATGATAAATTAACATTTTCAGCTCTTGAGATAAACTTGATATCTGTTCATGTCACTGTGTAAATTATATCATAATAAAGTAATATTCCATTTTTTTTTTCATCATCTATATGATTTTTTTAATCATATGTTTAAAAGTTTTATTTACTGTTAGGATCCATATCTGGACTTTCTCATTCTTCCATTGAGCTATATTTATTTTTTCCCCCAAAGGTAACACACTCTTGATTATATTCTTTTTATTGTATATTTTAATATCTGGAAAGACTTCTTCCTCAACATCCCCCCTTCATACACATATGTATACTCTTATTTATTTTAGAATGTTTTGGGATATTACTTTCTGTTTATTCTTCTATGTAAATTTTAAACATTTTGTTTTGTTCCAAGAATAACCTTATTGTGATTTGTTTGGGTTATGTCAAATATAAAAACTAATACGAGAAAACCACTATCTTTTCATTATTTAGTCTTACCTGTGGACCTTAAATAAACAGACAGCCAGTTATTTCTCTGGCAGGAATGGGTTTATTTGGGATTAGTGAAGAACTGCAATTTGGGATGTGCATGGCTATGGTTATGGGCAAATCTGGAGAGGCGAAGGAAGGGGCTCACTTTTATAAAAGTAAAAAATGGGAGTAGAGAGGGGCTGTTCTAAATGAAAGCCCATTGGAGGAAAGTAACAGTTTAGGATAGTGACAACTTCTCACTGGCTAAGCTCTGGTGCTTCTCATTGGCTGTGCTGTTGCCAGGAGGGGAGAGAAATCTCCCTTCAGTAGGAAAGTAGTTGCACTTCCTGCTGGAGATGCAAACGTACATTGCTTCCTACTTGGACTAATTGATGATGTATGCTAGGGCGTAAGAGCTCCCCCTACAGGTTTTCCTGACTCCAATTTAGTTGAGGTTTCTTTTATTAATTTCCACATACATTTGGGAACATGGTGTATTTCTATGCTTAAGTCATCTCTCTCTCAATAAGTATTTATACAGTTCCTATACATCTCAATTTTTTTTTTAACTTTGTTTATTGCAGTAACATTGGTTTATAACATTGTAAAAATTTCTATACATCTCAATTTTGTTTCATGGTTTGGTTACTATTATAAATAATATGTAGGGGTTTATTTTTATAGTATTTATATTTCTTGGTATGATTATATAGGCAAGATTTCCTTTTAAGTTTCTCCCAGTTCACATTCTGTAATTAAATGAAATAGAAATGCAAATACCTTTTACTTACTTCTTTTCATTGACATAGTAATGATAAAATATTTCAATTGTCTCAGTGTGTTGCATACAAAATCATAGAATATCTACTTGGTTAGTTAAACCAATCACATTTTGTGGTAGTTTTTGCCTATTCCTACTATGTGGTATGATAATGTCAAAGTAAATTCCATGTGAGTTTACCAATTAAAGGATTCAAATAATTGGGTTGCAGAGTACCATTTCAATAAAACTACATTGTATACTCTTGCTTACAGTAAATATGTTTGCATTCGGTATATTACATATAATCAACATAGGTAAAATGGCAACTGTAATAAAACTTGATAGTTTACTTATCACTAAGAAATAATACATTAGAGCCCACGAATTAAAAAGTCAAACGCCTTTGTCTTCTCTATTTGTAGTTACCTACAAATATCTTTTTTCTTTTTTTTTTTTAAAGGATTTAAATAAACGGTTGTCACTGCCTGCAGATATCAGAATACCTGATGGATATCTTGAAAAGTTGCAGATAAACAGTCCACCGTTTGATCAACCAATGAGCCGAAGGTCTCGTAGAGCTTCCTTAGTAAGTTTTTAGTCTCCTTTACCTACATCATCAGATCTGCTTGTTTGATTTTCTGGGTGTTAACATTTTATAGTAATTTTTATATTTAATGTTTGAATAGCTAAATTTTATTACATAGCCTTCTGGATTTTATCGTTTTTCATTCCTAAGTGTTTAAAGATGCATACTGGAATAGAATTTAAGCTATATTTTATTTTATGTTTTGGTAAGTTTTATTGATATATGCTAGATGTACAGAATATGTACTAGATATATAAACATATATTAATATATACTAGATATATAGAAAAGTATATAAATCATGACTGTATATAGCTCAATGAATTTTTGTACCATTAACATACCTGTGTAACCAGTACCCAGATCAATAAAAGAAAATTCCAGAAATCCCAGAAACCCCTCTTGCTACCTTTCTGTTCACTTTCTACCCCTACTTCCTCAGCTGTAGCCATTATCCCTGACTTCTAATGCCAAAGATTAGTTTTACCCATATATTTCCCACTGTTTTGATTATGTTTATAAGTATGTTTTAATATCTGGAAAGACTTTTTTTAATCCTCATTTACATACAAGTTCTTATTTTAAAAATACTTTTGATATTCTTTTTCTGATTATTATTAAACTTTTGAACTTTATATAAATATATGTTATTAAAATACATTTTATACAAATATATAAAAATGTGTATTTATACAAGTTTATATGTATGTATTATACAATATGTATCCCAATATGTATGGAAGCATATAATATGTATTCTTTTTGTGGTTGGCTTCTTTTAGCTCAGTGTTATGCTTGTGTTTCATCTAGGTTGTTATATGTGGTTATAGTTCATTTGTTCTTATTGTTGCATGGTATTCCATTGTATGAGTATACTGTACTTTATCTAGTCTCCTGTTGATGGACATTTACATTTGGATTGTTTTTAGTTTTCGGCTATTACCAAATAGTGCGTATATCACCATGTGTTTTGGTTAACATATGTAAGCATTTCTGTTGGGTGTATATGTAGGGGCAGAATTGTTGGACCAGATTGTATGCATATGTTCAACTTTCTTAGATACTGTCAAAACAGTTTCCAAAGTGGTTGTGCCAATTTATACTCCCATCACCAGTGTATGATTGTTTTAGTTGCTCTCCATGGCAGCATGTTCTCCGTTGGCAACAATGTAATAATTGACCCAGCGCTGCTGCTTATTGAAAGGACTGCTTTCCCTGTTTCAGGGTCACCTTTGACATAAATTCAGGTGATTATATATGTGAAGATCTCTTTTGTCGGACTACACTCCTAAAGTAGAGGTACATATAAGGTGCCATGCGACAACAAAAGAGACAGCGAGTAAAATGTCTTTGCGAGTCATAGGCTTACAGAGGAGATAGTGCTTGAGTTGGCTCTAGAAGGATAGATAGAAATTGGTCAAGTTGACAGTGGGTAGAAAGGTGTTCTAAGGAAGAAACTTTATGTACTAAAACCCAGAGGAATGAACCTAGGTATGTTGGGGAAATTATAACTGATATGAAGGGTAAATGTGGAATAATATTAAAGAATTGGGCTTGAAAGGATGGGGTGGATCCAGACTGTAAAAGCCTTAGATGTCAGACCAAGGAGTCTGGACTTCCTCCCATGTAATGGAATGACCTCAAAGGTATTTATTTAAACAAGAACTGACATGATCACATTTTTGTTTCATAACAGTAGCTTTAGGAAGAGTGTAAATGATGAAGTAGAAGGAGAGAAAGACTACAGACAGGGAGATCAATTAGGAATTTATTCAAAATTAGGGATGATGTGGCAGTCATGTGGAAATGGAAAGTAGAACCCAGATCCTAGGGATTACGTAGAGATAAATAGGCAAGACCTGGTACCCAGTTGAACTTGGAATCTGAAGAAGGAGCAGTTGATGAGGATTCGTGGGTTGCTAGCAGTTGTTATATCTCCTTTTTACATATTATATCAGAAAATGATTTTAGTCACTAAAAACTTCTGTTTGGGCTACATATTTTAAAGAATAAAATTATGCTGTATGTAATATGAGCACATAGTTATTTGACATTCATCAATATACAATAAGGTAAAAGTGTAATGCCAACTTGATTTTGGTATAGGTTTATGATCATCATAGTCTTGCATCACTGCTTAAGACATTTTTATTCAAATAACTGTCATTTCATCACCTAGTTCTAAGTATTCTTTGGCTATCAATTTTTATCGAAGATTGGTACTTAGGATAAATTTTGGAGTTATTGTATGTTCAGATTGGGACTAAAGGTATGATTTAATTCCCATCAGTCTACATGAAATTAAGGAAAACAAGTGCCCTCTAATGAATGTTAAGTGACTGGAGTTTTTATTGTGTTTGAGTGTTCCTACCCACCTCCCATGTTTTTTGATATGAAATGAGTTATAGATTTCAGATTAATCATGCCAGCTGTGTTTTGGTTTCTATCAGTGCATCTCTTTCATAATTCCTCTACCTTACTGAAGCATGGTTTGTTTCAAAGTGTATTAGAAAATTATTCTTCAGTATCCTAGATTTATGTATGAAGGTGAAGTGGTAGAAAATGGATGGAAAGGAGATGGGAAAAGAAAAATATTCTTCACGTGTTAGAGCTCATGTGTCCATGGATAATATACTCTTTATCTAAAAAATAAAATATTTTTTCAAGATAAAATATAAAATTTTAACCTTGTCTTTCTAAAATATAAAACTTTGTTTTTGTATTTATAATAGCAATGTATAATAAGTAGACTAGTAAAAATAAGTCCTTTGAGTAGGAATTAAGAAACAAGTCAAAATTTATTTCTGGTAGAGAAAGACATACAGTAGGACTGATTGGTTCTATAAATTCATGATTGTCAACCTCAAATGGACCCTCAATATTGCTTGGCTACCCTACTGTCTTTCTCTGGTTAACTCTTCCCCTCTCGCTCTAAGCAGATGATCTCTCCTCCTACATGATAAAGAAGAGAGAAGCCATTAACCAGAAAACCTCTCATTTTCTAAATAACAGATGTACAAATCTATCCACACCTGTACTCATTCTGCTCTTTCCTTCTTTTAATATTGAGGAATTGTCCTTCTTCCTATCCCATCTCCTCAGGATGCTTAGAATATTTATTATCCCTATTCACTCATGTATATTCAGTCTCCCTCTCAATTGAATCTTTCCTATTGACTTTTTATTTAAATAAACTTTTTATTTTAGAGTAGTTTTAGATTTACAGAAAAAGTCGAAGGTAATATAGAGAGTTCCCATATACCACATACCCAGTTACGCCTGTTGTTAACATTTTATATTACTTTCGTACATTCATCACAACTAAGGAAACTAACATTGGTACATTACCATTAACTAAACTCCACACTTTATTCAGATTTCCCTAGTTTTTCACTAATGTCCTTTTTCTGTCCCAGAATCCCATTCAGGGCACCACATTACATTTAGTCGTCATAACTCATGTTAAAGATATTGGTTATTGGATTGGTGAAGTGCTATTTAATATTCATTTATGGTTGATAAGAAATGGAATATTCTAACTCTTTCCATACTTACTGAAACATTAGACTAGTGGGAAAGCCCATATGCAAATAGTCAAGATTCATTAAGAGCATTGTCGCGCTTAAAATAATGGCGTGCCCAGTAGAAGTTGAGTGCAACTTTTGTAGACTGAAGGTCTATATATGAAAATTTGTCTCATTATATTGAAATTATAGGTTATACACATTTTAAGAGTCTGCTTCTTTCTAAACAATAAATATTGGATTCCTCATTCATGGCTTTACCAATGTAGATCATATGTAGGTCTTTTTTATTTTCAAGAGTGGGTAAGAAAGTAGGGTATCAAATCCTGATGCCTCTCAGAAATAATAAATATGGGGTGTGGAAGTGAGGTTCAGAGTCCACCCACAATCTAGTTTACCTTTGGCATATTATGTACAGGATTAAGATAGTATCATGATGATAGTAACAGCAATTTTTGTAAGACAAAATGAGTAGAATGGAGGTTCTCAATCTCTTTTCTGTCCCCCACATATCTAAGATAGAACACGTTTCTATCAGTAACAGCAACTGGGTAATTCTCACAAAGAGGGAAATGGGTGTTTGCAAAAATCTCCCTTTGTCTTCAGTGTTTCTTATATACACATTCACTTAAAGAATGGCATCTATAGAACTTTTGCACATACTTCATTTGCTTTGAAGCTCAATTAGAACTACCTTGCCAGCATGTTAATACATCTTTACAACTGTGATATAGTGATTATGTTTCCAGAGCCAAAGTAATCAAGAAATCCCCCATAATGCTCAATACCACTTACAAGTTACATTGAATTATAGGAAGGCCATTATAAATTATAATTTATTTTGTGTGTGTTTTTTTTTAAATTTTCATGTGATTATGCTGTTAAGAGCCATCTGAACAGGAATTTGCTTGGGGCTTCCAACAAGCCACGTATTCTCTTGGAGCAGTGAAGTATCAGAATAAATTATTTTCATTAGTTTGGAAAGCAGAATTAAGGAGATTTTTATGTTGTATTAAAATATAAAGCTTACTGTTCCATTCCTTTAGCTATTATTTCTGTTTTTATGAAACTTTTAAAATATTCTAGAATAATCTAAGATGGCACTCATTGTATATTGTGAACTCATGAAAGCAGGAATCATATCTGTCTTCTTCACTATAGCCCCAGTACCTAGCATTGTGCTTGGTAAATGTTGAATAAATGAGCTTTGTTCTCTGTCCTCTGAATAATTTCTGTAGGAGAGCATGTCAACAAGCTAGTCATTATATCTATTGTTAGTCTTGTCATGTTCAGCAGATAAAAATGCAAGCAAAATTTTCTAAAAATTCCATTTAAATATTCAGTAAGTAATATTGATGTAATTATTAAATCCTTAAGGTTGGAAATTATTAAAATGGGTGATGAGGTGGGTACACTTTACTCTTTGAATTAGGTTCTGACAGACAATTCACTAGTATAACTGTGCCTTTTGTCTGAATTCTCTGACTGCCTGCATGGGTGGAATTCAGTAATGCTATGTATTTTATAGATCAATTATTCAAATTTAAATTTAATTTCATAATTGTACTACAGTATTTGCCTTCTTTTTGAAAAGCAGACTTTCAGCATATTTTAATGATTTCACTAAAGTTCATTCTCTGAAGAGTGACTCTTTGTAATGTTAATTTTTGATGCAGCCCTTACAGTTTATTCCTTATATACTTTATATATAATACAATAATCTCTATAACATTTTTATCTTTACAGTTTTGAATTTGTAGTCCACTTACACACTCTTTAAAGCAAATCTCAGCATTTTGTCATAGCCACCATTGGACCAAAGTGTATTTGATGTTTTAAGGGCATGCTAGTATTTATTCACTTAAGATAAAAGAATGAATAAGAAAATTTCCCAACTCCTGATAAGAAAAAGTTCCTAGCTTGCAATCCTACTTTTCTTTGTGCTTCTCATTGTTATGGATGATGACATTTTTATTTTCAGAGACATTCATTGTTTTATTCATACTAGATTCCATTTATTATCAATATAGTTTTCCTTCATAAAAGATATGACACAAGACTTAAAATTCATGGCAAAAGTACAATAGTTTCATATTTTTTAATGTAAGCACCTGAATTCCAGAGATAGGTATACGAAAATAAACACATTCTGTCATAGTTTATGTGACTTTGGCAATTAATTTTTTTTTGAAGTAAGTTAAGATCATATGTATATGGGCTATAAAAAACAAACCAAAAGATTATTCAGAATCATGCTCTCATGTACCAGAGAGTGTAAGCTGTTTGCCACATTTTCCTTACTAAAGTTAAAAACTTCATTTGTATTTGGACAGTGTTGTGTATTATAGTTTTACTTTATTATCCACATAGTTATTGATAATAGAAAGCAACAATTTAATATCTCTGAGTCATGTACAAGGCAATACATGGGCAGATTGTATATGATGGTTCCAAAACCTCATTTTTTTAAATAAATTTTTTGGAAAATACCATCTGTAGGAAAAACTTTTAAATAAGAGTACAAAAAGAAGCAATTCTCCAGTCATTCACGTATATCATTGAAAAAAAAGGATGAAAACAATTCCTTTGAGGGGCCTCTGCTACTTTTGGCCATTCAACTTTGGACAGTTTATCTTGTTCAAAGTGGTGAGTGATGTTAAGTCAAATTGTCAAGTATCATTTTCATTTTACTCAGCACCTCTGGAAAATTGCATATTTGAACCTCCAAAATTTGACTAAAACATAGTATTTCATGATCTAGCATTATTTATACACCTTTCGGAGCTGAGGTTATGTATAAAAGAACATTATTTCCTTCCACTGGCTATTTATTTAAGGACATTAGCATCACTCTGAGAAGCAAATCTTTCTTTAGATTATTACTGCTTTTTCCACTGTCTACAAAGGGGTACTAAAAAGCAATTTTAAGAAAATTCTTGTTCTCTTTTGTTGTTTAACTTTTTTTCTTTTTCTACTCTCTCAATCCCTAAAATTCCATCTCCCTATATTTTTTCTTTTTTCCTAAACCTTTTGTGTTAGGGTTTTTTTGGTTTGTTTGTTTTTAGTTTTTGAATATTAGGTTTCCACTGTGTATTTGGTTGTATTCCATCTACCTCATTTATTGACTCTATAGAAAATAGGCAAACAAGCCCAAAGTTTAAAAGCAGTGGTTTTGAGAACCCACTTTTAAAGCCCCCCTCCCTTTTTTTGGCCCAGATTTAGACTTGTATTGATTCTTTTGTGTTTGCCATTTCCTGATCCATAGTAGAGTGTCACTTGCAGTTATTTTTTCATTATATTTTGGTTGGAAAACCTGAAACAAATAGTATTTGTTGTTTGCAGGCCTTCCTAGGGATCCAAAGATTAGTGAAGGAAAATATGTAGGAAAATTATTTATTTTTCAGTTTTGCTAAAAAGAAAATCCTGTAATTATCTTTTGTAAAAATTCTTTAATATCTTAACATGACTGTGGTATGTTAAGATCTCAGGGTCTTAAAACAAAATTTTTTCATAGCTCAATGTTCATCGATCAATTTTAATTGTGAACTTTATGTTTTTGAACATTTGAATGTTCCAACATCAGGTATATTTTAAAACTTGACAGGTGTTCAACAATTATAATCAGATTTTTCTATTCCAAGACAATCTTTAGAGCAGGATGGTTTCAGAAATTAAGAAAGAGATGAATTGAAATTTTAGGAATACTAAATTTATAATTGTTTGCTTTCAGTCAGAAATTGGATTTGGGAAGATGGAAACCTACATCAAATTGGAAAAACTTGGAGAGGTAGGTAATACTTATTTTAAAAATGTAAAAAACATTTTTTTTCTTATTTATCATCTAAACTCCTATTAGTCCAAAGTTTTTGCCAACCTGGAAAAAAAAATGTGAGCACTATCATCTGAAAGGATTATATCTTATTCTGAAAAGTCAACAGAATGTTAGAAGGAAAAAAACCTTTAATTCTTGAAATTACCCCATCAGTTTGAGAGGAAATGGGTGTTTTTTATAGCCTTGTAATCTTTTATTGAAGCACAAAATATTGTGCTTTTGGATAACAAAATAGGCATCTATTTGTTTGTTAGCCTCCTGGCAGTCTGCGGTCTCTGCTGTCATGTGGGAACCTGCCTGAGTTTAAACGTGTAAAAAACCAAAATACTGTCTTTAAAGATAAAGACACATTTCATTGAAGGTTAAGGAAATTATTGTCTAATAAGACCTTGATTTTCTTGAACTTGCTACTAGTACTGACTAATTTTGAAATGATCTAGGGCTATGCTGGCAATGAGAGAAGAAATCTCCTGTAGAATATATTCATTTTTTAAAGGAGAGTTAATGTACAAAAATTCTGAGAAGTCTGAAAACTGATAAAACTTTTATAATTTAACAGTATGTTACATTTTCAGTTAATATGCTCAATTAATTTCCTCAGTCTCCACATACCATTGCAGATAAAGTACCTCTGATTCTAAAGCTATTGATCGAATTGTTCATCTGATACAAAGTACAAAAAGTAAATATTCTTCCTATTTTTTCATAATTTTGAAGCACTCTGTAAGGTTATAAGAGTATGGAAGCTGTGCATATGGAACTGAAAGTCCTCTTAGCTATAGGAAAACTAATACTAATCATTGTGGAGTTTTCCTTGCAAGATGGAATTCAGTATATGCTTAGAAATTAGAAATTTAGTTAGAGCTCTTTATTGAATAGGTGGTATAGATAGACTCTCATGATACTTTTGATGTGTCTTTCAAAAATTTATTGTATAGGGTACATATGCAACAGTATATAAAGGAAGAAGTAAACTGACAGAGAATTTGGTGGCATTAAAAGAGATCCGGTTGGAACATGAAGAAGGTGCACCCTGCACAGCTATAAGAGAAGGTATAATTTGATCTTTTGTGAGCAAAATGTATTATGAAGTTTATATAGAACATTTTAAAACCGAAGCTGCATAAGAGTTCATTTTTCGTAAGTAAAAAGAGCTCAGATATAGAAACAATAGATGACTGAAAGGTATATTTAGACCTTAAAAAAGCTAATATCTAAAGCCAAAATATTCAACAGAAAGGCATAGTTAATTATATTATTGTATAGCTTATAATGAAATACTGTGAAGTCGTTAAATGATTGTCATAGACAAATATTTGACGTTGGTAAATGTTATATATGGGTCCATAGAGAAGAAGCTAACTGTAAATTGATATATACAGAATATAAATATATAATGATACCATTTTTAAAAAAGGTAAATTATTCAGAAAGTGGTTTGAGGCAACTGATTAACAATTTGGCAAGAAAAAAAATACTTCGCACTTTATATCTAAATGAATCCTAGAAGTCTCAATAAGTTAACATTTGAGAAAAAACAGAAGATGACCTGGAGAGTATTATTATAATATTGGAGACAGTTTTAAGTATTAAAAATATCAAACCCAGAACCATAAAAGAAAAGAAAAAAAATTAATTCTATTAAAATTTCTACTTCAAATCCCCTTGGTGAATTAATGCTTTAAACCTAAGATAATCTTAAACTCAATCAGTTCATGTGTTAAACTTACTTTAGGTTTTTATAAAGATTGGCTACCACAGACTAAATAATTGACTTTCTTTCTGTTTTGCAGTTTCACTATTAAAGGATCTAAAACATGCAAATATAGTAACTTTACATGACATTGTTCACACAGATAAATCTTTGACTCTGGTCTTTGAGTATCTGGTAAGCATTTAATAAAAATTCAGTATTTAATTTTGCTCTATTAAAACATAGCAAATTGGATGTTTTTTAACAATCTCAGGGACATTATTGTTTAGTTATTGTTATTTAATGAAATTATGCATGGTGCATTCAATATCTTTCCTCAAAAAACAATTTATTTTTAAAAATTAAATACTTTCAAATCAATCAACCATGCCTTCTGAAAGCTATGTATCACATAGTAAAGTACTGTATTTTTTTCAGGATAAAGACCTAAAACAGTACATGGATGACTGTGGAAACATCATGAGTATGCACAATGTAAAGGTATGTTTTAGTGTGTCATATTTTTTTTTTTTATTTAATTTTTTTGTGAGGAAGATTAGCCCTGAGCTAACATCTGTTGCCAATCCTCCTCTTTTTGCCAAGGAAGATTGGCCCTGGGCTAACATCCGTGCCCCTCTTCCTCTATTTTATATGTGGGACACCTGCCACAGCATGGCTTGATAAGTGGTGCATAGGTCTGTGCCTGGGATCCAAACCTGCAAACCCGGGGCCTTTGAAGCGGAGCACACAAACTTAACCACTACGCCACCAGGCTGGGCCCTAATGTGTCATTTTAAAGTTTGTTTAAAGCAGAGACAAACAGTAAGCATAGATGAACTACGTTACATAATGACATATACCAGCCTTGTAACTATTCTGCTTCACAATTTCCTATTTGGCATTTTAAATAGGTTACCGTTCTCTGAACATATTTATTCAGAACTTCTGTTTACTACACTATAGTATTTTTTAGGATCAGACCTTTTTGTAGAACTGCTTCATTTTTAAAATCTTAAAAGGTACTTAAGATGTTTTCTTTCACATTATAACACTGGCTCTCTTAGGTGGATATAAAATACATTTACTGGTATATTCTGCTTAAAAAAAATAAGCCTCTTATATCAAAACCCAAATGTTTAAAATAAATACAAATGATTAGTGCATCCTGCAGAAGGCCTCCTTTAAATGGCAAACTCCTCCAACATATTTAAAATGGTTTTTAATTTTAAAACAACAACTTTTCAAGGTACCAAGCTAATGAGTAAGGCCAGGAACATGTGTAGGTATTATGAATACTAGGCTGGAAATACCAATCAGGAGAAAAAGTAAGATAATTGTTATGTTTTCTTGTCTGTATATCTAAAGACTTAAGTAATACCAGAAAAGTTTGATATAATAATCAGTGCCAGATGCAATCCAAAAGTAAAATAAAAGTTAAAAACATTTGATACAGTTGTGTTCTTACAGTAGGTTTCTTTGACCTGAGTGGAATACTCCAAATTTAGCGAAGATTTATTTGTCCAAACTTAGTCAAAAGTTTGTGAGAAACTATTCTGGAAATAGGTCTTCCGAGCTGTGTGTTTGAGACAGTTCCAATTCTGTAGATAGTAACTTTAAATTTATATATATTTTAAAATAGTAAGGTTGGTGGATGTAAAGGAGAGCCAATTTCTTTTATTAAAAGACTGCTCAGAACATATGGGTAACACACTTGCTAAGAATTTTAGAATAGGGTTTTAAGTCTGTTTCCATATACATTCTATGAGAATTGTTTTCATAATATTTTACATTTTGTTTTGCAAGATGTGAATCTCATTTGTGTATATTTCTGTTTGTGCATTTTATTTTATTTTTCCTGCTTTCATATTAGCAATAATTTGGAAAGAAAGAAACGTCTTTAATTATCATAATTACACAAAGATTCAAGAAGTTTATATCTTTTAGGTCAGGTATACATGGCTACCTTAAGTTATAAAGTATTTTATTCTTTATTTGTTTAAATAGCCCTTATATTTTCCAAACATAAAAAGTAACAAGAATATATCGAAATAGTAATTTTAGAGTTTTCAAAACAGATAAATATGTAGTGTAGAAACTCTGCTGCTTAGAATTTCTTCAGGCCTATTGTTCACCTGCTGCCTTTGCTTATTCTCAATGTTCTAATGCTCTATTTTTCACCTAAAAGTAAACCAAGGATACACTCTCAAATCTTCTGTACTTGAGGCTCTTTTTTGTTAACCCCAAAAAATCAAAGACCTGTGTTGACGTCCACTTTTCCACCAAAATCCACAACAAAAGTCTACCATTAGCCTTACAGGAATTGCTTTTTTCTAAGAGTCAGAGCTCTACAGTGCTAATTCCCTTTTCTGAATCATAGCAGATTTTGAAGGCTGAGTAGGAGGTGCTAAAAGTAAAGTACCCAGGAGGTGGGTGATAGAAGCTGGTTTAGGTTATTTTTATAGCACGTAATTTGCCAGAGCTATGCGGCACCATTCTCTTTGACACCTCAGAATTTTCATAAAACCACCAATTCCAATGCCTTATTTTAAAGACACTGTCCCAGATCAGGTTTTTTGCAGGGGAGGCAGTAGAGGTTGATTGTTTTGCCAGAATATCATAATCAAACTGTAAGGCTTAAGAGGCCTCTAAGTTTATAGGATATGTTTATTTTAAATGATTTTTTTATAACAAATGAACTATTACTCCTAAGACAAAGTTTTATTTCACTCTGTTTTCAGTATTTATTTTGATAGATGTTGTCAGACTAAAAAAATAGGTAGGTGCTTCAGGTGGAATAATAAATTATAAAATTTATGAAACAACCATATAAGGAAAAGGCTTTGTATTTAAGGATATGTTTCCTTTTTTTTTTATTTTACTATTCTAGGCCAGTTGCTTTTCTGTTTATCATAACTTATGTTTATACCAAAGGATATCTTATCATCTGTAAGACTAATTTCTATTTATTTGTTTCTGTAGCTGTTTTTATACCAAATTCTACGTGGTTTGGCATATTGCCACAGAAGAAAGGTATTGCACCGAGACTTGAAACCACAGAACCTCCTCATTAATGAAAAAGGAGAATTAAAGCTAGCAGATTTTGGTATGGAATGTATGAGATATTTATAAATAGTTACAGGTGGTTATGTTTAAAAGAACAACCGTTGACACTGTGTGATTGCTTTTATGTGGGTTTGAAAATTTTCTCTGTTGCCAACGGAATAAGAGATTTGACAAACTGGTGGGTGAGTTATGTTAGTGAAGGCTAAAAGACACCCGTTCTCAGGTGTGGTCCATAAACCCCTAAGGGTCCTGAGACCCTTTCAGGAGGTCTCCAGTGGTGTAATATATTATCAAAATTATACTAAATGTTATCTGCCAACTGTGTTAATATTTGGACTGATGATCCAAAAGCAATAAAGAATAAAGATACTGGTGCCTTAGTATAAATCAAGGCAGTGACACCACACTGTACTTAGTCATTGTGTTCTTCACCACTATACATTTGTAGGAAAAAAAGTATCAATTACACAAAAGGTGTTTGATGAAGCAGTAAAATTTATTAAATTTTATTAAATCTTCATCTTTGAATATGTCTTTTAGTATTTTCTGTGACGAAATGGGAAGTATACATAAAACACATTTGCTGCACACAGAAATACTATGGTTACCTCAAGGAAAAGTGCTTGTGTAATTATTTGAGTGCAAACTGAACTAGTCCTTTTTTTCAAGGAACATCATTTTTACTTGGAAAAATGACCGACAAACTATGGTCACTCAGGCTTAGGTATTTGGCAGACATTTTCTTGAAAATGAATAAAGAGAACCTATCATTTCAAGGAAAACAACAGAAAGTATTTCTTGCCAATAGTAGAATTTGAGTTTTCAAGCAAAAATTAGATGTTGGGAATTTGGATCTACCACTTTGAGTTTGGTACCTTCTCCATACTTAGAGATTTTTCTGATGAGATCAGTGGTGATATTAACAATTGAATTTTTTGACATGCTAAAGAAATGTATAAACATTTGGAATATCTGTATAACTCAGGGAACCAGTATTTTCCAGATGACCAATACATGATATTACAGAGTTGTACGTGGGTGAAAGATCCATTTAAAGTGCAAGATAGACCAATGAATTTTAATGTAACAAGAGTACAAGAAGTTCATTGATAAAATTACAGTTACCACATAATCTTTAAGAAACTAAATATTTTCTAATTCTGACATAGTATCAAAGAAGAATATGTACAATTATCAGAAAAGGCTATTAAAATGCTCTTCTTTCCAACTACATATCTGTGTGAGATCTGATTCTCTTCATATACTTCAATCAAAGCAACATATCACAACAGATGGAATGCAAAAGCAGATAGGAGAATCCAGCTGTCTTCTGTTAAAATAGACTAAAAAAATATAAAACAAGACCATATTAATTTTTATTAATTATTTTATTAATATTAATAAAAAATATTTTTCATAAAAATGTTCATGTTAATATATAATGAGTGATTTTTAATGAATAAGTAAGTTTTAAATTTTTCTCAATTTTTCTAATATGGCAAATATCAATAAATATAATCTATATAAATAAAAGCTCTTTGGGTCCTCAATAATTTTTAAGAGTATGAAAAGGGTCCTGAGACTAAAGAGTTTAAATGCCACTACTACAAAGGATTCCTTTAGTATGTTTGCCACCATGATTTTGTATTTATTTGTATGCTTAGTAATTTTAATTAGTAGCTGTTTATCCATCTCTCTGTAGCTGATCTGATTTTAAGGGATTAGAAAGTAAAATGAAATTACATGTTCTTTTTGCTTCTAGAAAGTAAACTTTTTTATATTGAAGGAACTTTGTATAGTAGCTTTGATTTTTTTTTCTTTTAAATATTTCACATTCTGAGAGTTTGAGTACTCTAATAGAACTTAGTTTTAAAAAGCCCATACAGCTTTCCCTAATTAGCATTTATCATTTTTCATTAGTGATTATAGTAGTTTTACTTTTGGAGTATTTCATTAAATTTGATAAATATGAGTGTTTCAAGTATTATTTTGTTAGTAACAGATAAAAATTCACAGTTATTAAGTGGTCAGTTTGTTCTGGAAATTCCTGTACCTTTACTCATTTGTTTGAAAGGTAGGTTGCTATTTATATTTCCTCCCTTAAAAGGAACTGGGTAGGTGACATGTGTTTAAACAAGAAATTACAAGTTATTTGCATATGCTTACATAGATTATACAGTCTCTTGGGCATAGTTTATGTTGTTATTTTTCTTATAATTGTTATTTTCTCTTTCTCTTTTTTTTGGCCAAGCTGCATTTATTGCTCCTTATTCCTTAATCTCAAATTGAATGGCAGTGATAGAGAAACCCTGCTTGGCTATTAGAAATGCAAAAAATGGCAAGGGCCATCAAAAATTTACTTTTGAGGGGGTACGATGAGTGCTTTAAATTTTGCTTTTAACCTCTGCAAAGCAAGCCAAGCAAATTTTTTCTTCCCACAGGCCAACATGAAATTCTAATTATTCCATGAGATAGTACAATCCACTGTGTCTCTATTGCTTTTAGTTGTTATTTTTATTTATTGGTTGCATAGTAAATATATTTAGGACTGCAAGTTAGGAATAATGTAACTTTGAGTGTTTTACTGTAAATTGTTCTTGATCTCCATGAAAATTCTTCCTCTTTTCCTGTGATTGATGTAATTCAGGTCTGGGAAGTATTAATATAGATAGACATTTTCATTAATAATAGAAAATTGCTTGTAAAGTAACACCATATCACATTTAATTAATTTGGTTTGGAAGAGATTATCATTTATTTTATTTCATGCCAATGCTGAAATTCTAATTGTGAACTAGGAGCCTGGTTGAACAAGCACCCTAGTTCAGAATTCTCTCAGGAGCGGGAGAGTAAGGTACTAAGGAAACTATAACTGGCAGTTGTTTTGGTGCTGTTCATATAGGTTATAAGTTAAGGAAACTATTACTGGCAGTTGCTTTGATGCTATACTATAGGTTATAGGTTAAGCAAACTTGCAGCCCTGTCCTTTGCCCCCATATAACCCACTATTAATATCAAGAAGAGAGGTCAGAAAGCTGCCCCCATCTTGCTAATTACCAAAATTCGTAGAAAAATAATTTGTTGAATTTATTTTACCACGTTGGGATGGTAGAGTAAAACTTGTAATTAAATAAAATAGTGTCAGCATTGTTCCAGTTTCATCCTTTAGCTATTATACTAAACAAGAATAGTATGAGTGCTGCCTGATTATTTAAATTTCTGGTTTCGTTTGAGTGAGTTTGTCCATTTAATAAAGTATTGAATTATCCTTTTATGACATTTTTCTTATTTAATATTTTAATCAGATATATAAAGTTGTACATAACAGAAATCACAACCTCAAAAATGAATTATTCTTTATTGTTTGAAATAAATTATATGTTAAAATAAATTTATATTTCTTCAAATATCTTTTAAAGTTGCTTCTTCTTCAGGTGATCAGAATTTGGAAGCTGAGAGGTAGTAAAAACAACTCTTATGCCAGTGGCTCAAGAGATAAAGTTGTGAACTCTCGCCTTTATTTCTGGATAATCAGTGAATTCCATATTAAATCGGCAAAGGAATGGCATGTGTTTTACGTCATTTTCAGCAATTAATTATATCCAAAATCATTGAAGTCTGTTTTAAAATTATCCATTTAACTTAAAACTTAAAAAGAAAGTATAGCACAGCAATATAATTTATTCCAAAGAGACTTTCTCTAAAGACTTCTGCAAGGAAATTGTCAGTAAAACTCATGGACCATGAGTTTTAGGATCATGGTCAAGCAACTTCATGTTTTTTGATAAAAATTGGTACAGCAAATGAAAGTTGGAATCAGGTTAAAAGGGTACAAATGTATAGCTGTAAGAAGTAAAATTGTTTATCTCACTGGCATTGGCCTATTTTGCATTAATTTAAGTTCAGCTAGAAAATAATTTTGGCGTCATGATTCATGGACAAAAGAAAAATATCTTAAGTTTAGATTAACTCAGACACTGTACCTGGGTATATTCACATGTGTAAAAGTAAGCATAGTCTCTGATTATGGAATTATTGTTATTTAATTACATAAGGTTTTGCTGACCCAAGACCATGTGCACTCAAAAAAATTCATAAAACTAATTTTGTTAAGCTTCAAGAAGCTACAGAGCCGCCATCTCAGGCATCCTTGCGACTGGAGTCATGGTGAGGATATGGGCTGGGAAATCCATTAGCTATTTCTTAATTGTTTTCTTTTCCCTATGAAGGACTAGCCAGAGCCAAGTCAGTTCCCACAAAGACCTACTCAAATGAGGTTGTCACACTGTGGTACCGGCCGCCTGATGTGCTTCTTGGTTCCTCAGAGTACTCAACACAGATCGACATGTGGTAAATATATGCAGATGTTATTGTTATTTATAATTTTGAAAGAATGTAGCCATTAACACAGAGCTACTGATAGATATTTGACTTTTAAGGAGATATTATTTTAGAGACATAATATAAGCAATGATTAAGAGTTCTGGCATGTAAGATCACCTAGGTTTAAATACCAATTCTACCACTTATAACTATATAATCATTTTATTCAAATTAATGGCCTGTGCCTCAGTTTCCTCATTTAAGGAAGTGACAATAGTAGCAGTAACTACTTTAAAAGGCTGTGGATAATGTTAAGATCAAATGAGCTAAAATATATAAAACACTTAGAAAATTGGTACATAGTAATTTTAAACAAAACTATTATTTTTATCATCATTTAATATTCACCAAAATCCATTTGCTTTGAGTGCATTTAAAAATAAAGTATTGTAGGTATGTTCCTCATATACCACTTTGATCATGACACTTTTGCTCAAACACCTTTGCTGCTTCTCCATTCCTTACCTGTAGAATAAGGAACAGTACTTCAAACTAATACTTAATGATCCCCATAAAATGTCTCTAAACTACCTTTTTCAGCTTATTTCAGACTGTTCTTCTACACAAATGTTCCCGTTTAGCCAAATGGGCTACTCACCATATCTCAGAAATAACCTAGGCTTTCCCACTTTTGCTCCTGTGTTCATACCGGTCCACCCATCTGGAATGCCTGCTTTGTGCTTCTCTAACTGGGGCTTGTGCCTAGCCACCTTCAAAACACAGCTTTTCATAAATCTCCTGAATACAACCTAGCTTCCAGTAGCTGTTCCTTCCTCTGAACTGTGGTTGCATTTATTACCTATACTCTTCATTTAGTGATGTCATGTACTTCCTGATGTTGTCTTGGGTTGAACAATTATATATCCTTTTGTATAACATTTTTTTCTTTTTTTAAACTTATTTTTAAAATGGTAGTAAAACATACATAACATAAAATTTACCATTTTAACCAATTTTAAGTGTACAAGTCTCTGACATTAAGTATATTTACTTTGTTGTGCAACCATCACCACCATCCATCTCCAGAACTTTTCTCATCTTGGAAAACTGAAACTATACCCATTAAACAACTCCTCGTTTCCCCTTCCCTCCAGTCCCTGGCAACTACCATTCTACTTTCTGTCTCTGTGAATTTGACTTTTCTTAAGTACCTCATGTAAGTGGAATCATACAGTATTTATCGTTTTGTGACTGGCTTATTTCACTGAGCATAAATGTCTTCAAGGTTAATTCATGTTGTAGATAGATATTTGACTTTTTTGTGTGTCAGAATTGCCTTCATTATTAAGGCTGAATAATCATTGTATATGTATGCTACATTTTGTTCATTCATTCATCGACGGACACTTTTGACTATTGTGAATAATGCCGCTGTGGGTGTGGATACACAGATATCACTTTGAGACCCTGCTTTCAATTCTTTTGGGTATATACTTAGGAGTGAAATTGCTGGATCATGTGGTAATCTTATTTTAAGTTTTTTTGAGGACCCACCATACTGTTTTCCATAGCGGCTCCATCATTTTACTTTCTATGTAACATTTTAATATGTAAAATTAAATTTTATATATAATTGCTAGATTGTAAGTCCTTTAATGGAAGGACTGTGTCTTAAACTTACGTGTATTTACACAGATCCGAGAATACAGTATCCATTCACTGAGCTTCCATCCATTTTTCTTCCTTCTCTTATACACACGCGCACACGCACACTCTCTCTCACATAGCCACACTCCCACCCTGTACCTATGTGTTCTATATCTGATAAAAACATCTTCAGCCATTTGCTTCTCTCTATCCCTGCTACCTACTACCTCACACATAGTAAGCATTAAATCACTATTAGCTATTCAAGGTCATGCAGAGGAGAGCTGGACATTTTAAGTGGGAAAAATGGATATAGCAATATGGAAGTTGAGACAAATAGGATAAATGGTAACATTAGTTGGATCTGAAAAAATCTCTGCAGGGGGTTTTCTAACAGGCTAGTACAATGTTCTCCAGAGAAGCAATCTTAAGGAAAATATTTTTGTACTTCATAATATGTAAATGGATTGCTTATCATTTTTTTTTTTCTTATGATATGTTTTAAAGGGGTGTTGGTTGCATTTTCTTTGAAATGGCTTCTGGAAGACCTCTATTTCCAGGATCAACTGTGGAAGATGAACTGCATTTAATTTTCCGACTGCTAGGTAACAGAAGAAATCTTTTCCCAGTGATATGTTACCTACAATTGACTAGCTAGATAAGACTGTATCTTTAAAAAAATATGTAAATTTGATACTGCAGCTAATATAAATAGCTGTTGTTATAAGAATTATAATTAGCATAATTATGATAAAGATAGATACTTCTAGGTAACTTCATTTACTGAGTTCTACCTTTGCAATAAAGGTTTTATGGAAAAACAGAAGAGAAATATTATTGAAAATTGACCTTTAGCATATTATTAGGAAATATTTCTGGCTTAAGTGTCAACTAGATAGGAAATAGAATCTAGCTTATGTGTCAGTTAGGCATCATCATTTTTGTGGCATCATTGCATAGTCCAAAAAAAAGTCCATATATGTTTACTATGTCTATCATTTCAGTTTCAGTTGAAATATTCAAATCATCTACTAAATGTAAATTGTTCTTTAAGACACTTTCTTAAGTCTCACTATTTATATATATTTGCATATATTTAAATTTTTATATATTTATAAATATATATATTTTTTTAATTCAGGAACTCCATCTCAGGAAACTTGGCCAGGTGTTTCTTCAAATGATGAGTTCAAGAACTACAACTTTCCAAAATATAAACCACAGCCTCTAGTTAACCATGCACCCAGGTATTTTTTTGTTTTCTTTAAGTGAAAATGGGGAAACCCACCTTTATTCTTTGCAGTATTTTGAAGCATTGGCCACAGTAAGGATTCAGGAAAAAATATATAATACATGTATACAATTCTTAAATATTTTGGATCTAATTTAATTGAATTTCTTCCTTCTTATCTCAGATTAATTTTATTTCATTACCCAAAATAACCAAAGTATGTAAATCACAGAAGTGAGCTATATATAAAATGAATATAGAACAAATGTATTAGAATTCTAGAGTTTATATAGATTGTTCCCTTTCTCAGAAAGAGGACATTGATTAATGCCTTATTCAATATCAGGAAGACCATGATGAAATTTCTGTTTTGCTTTCACAGAATTATTCTCTATTTACTTACAAAAACCTAAGAAAGTGTTATAAGTAAAATCTTGACTTTGACACAAGGTGATCCGTCAGTATTTTGGCCAATGTTAGTGAGATAATTTGTATTTGAAGAATATAAACTCTTTCTGACCCCTCTTTCTGATCCTAAATGTTGGCCATTCAATTAAAGTTTCTTCTCAGACCTAACCCCAGATTCATCCGAGACTCCCATTAAAATTTGAGTCAGAACGTTTTTACTTATGGAATATATTACATTTTCAGTAAGTAACATAGAATAACTAAACCCTTTGACTGTATTTTTCCATCTTTCCTTAAAAAAAAAGTGGACACCAATAGCAAATAAGGCCAATGTCTTTTAATTAAAAGCCATTCGCATTGGTCACAACATAACACTCGCTCCAGTTCCATTTATTCTCAAGCTAGGGAAGAATAGCAAAACAATTCTGATACCAAAAATATTTTTACAGTATTTATGTGAATTGATATGTTACCAAAGCAACTAATAACATTGTAAGTAGACTTTCTTAGGAAGAATAATATTATGTGCTGGACTTTTTGTGTGTTTCTCTCCCAAGTACCATAAATCCTAATTTTGTTATTTATAAATTGCTTGCTGTTGTAAAGTCCAGTGTAGAAGGTTGAAGCTTTCTTAAAAGAAAATTCTCCATGACCTTGGCACCTAGCTTATCTGTGTCCAAGGAGCTTTGTCAGAATGGCAGACTACAAAGGATTAGAAGAGTCTAGAGAATGTCTAGGCCACAGCATCCACAGAACCCACTAAGAGCACTCGGGGGGAAATATTCCTTTATTCATAATTGTGCTTTTGCCACTGAAATGCAGTGCAAGATAGAACCTGTGGTTGCTGATCAGGATATTATCCCATTAAGATAATCCCTAAACCTTCTACTCCCTATTATATTAATTTCATTCTGTAATTATCTGTCTTCATCAACTATATCATTGGTTTTGTAGCCCTTTTTAGTTAAATTTTATGAAGTTATTGAGACATATTTAAGTTGAACTTTATAGCTTCTAGTACCCAATGCTCAGCAGACCACCCTGTAAAAATTTGTCAAATGACTCATCTCTCTGTCTTTCTTGAACTACAGTGATACATTTTGGGGTCACTTGTCTCTTTATTTTCACCCACATAATAGGAAAATGATGCTTTTGTACTCTTGCTTTCAGTGGAACACTGTGAAAATTGATGGAATTTACTTAAGCTTTCCTGATGATAAAGGTTACTTTGTTTTGAGATAGAATGGTGATTTTAAAATATTCTGTAGTTTTAATAATCTGATTTGTTCTTGAATATTGAAAATTTGAATTGAAGCCCAATTATTTATGGTTTCTTCTTAAACATTGGCAAGATGAGTCTTTTAAGGGTAAAACAGATTTGAGTCTATTTGAAAGCAACACGAGTGGCTTTTTTGGCACCTGAATTTAGCAGATTAAAACACTTGGAAAATAGCTTTATTTGAAAAATTGCTATCAGCTAAAATAAAAGAGAGTAACTTGCCACCTGTTTTTTGTTGTTTCTAGGTTAGACTCTGAAGGAATCGAGTTGATAACAAAATTTCTTCAGGTAAGTTAATCTTATTGTTACGTCGGTTATTAACTTCTCTAAGTGTCAGTTCCTTCATCTGTAGAATGAGATCAGTAAGACCACCCTCAAATATTTGTCATGACAATTAAATAAGATTATTTATGGTAGTATCTAGCATGCTTAAGGTATATGCTTAAGTAAAAAAAAATTATGGCTTCTCTTAATGTGTCTGGATCTCTCATTGTAACCTAGAGCAGTCTGAGGTAGTCAGCTGCTGGCATTGATCAACTGTGTCAAGGCCATGTTCTCTGCACTTCATGTTCTCTTTCTGTTCCTTATACTTACTGCCTTATAGGCTGCTGCAACTCCCAAGACCATTCATATCTTCATTCAAAGTAGGAAGGAGAGAGAGGATAAGGGTTGTATCAGCCACATTAGTCCTCTTGTATCTGGAAAGCAAAGGCTTTTCCAGAAACTCCTGCAAGCCTTCTTCCTAAGTCTTTCTGGCCAGAACATTAATTCTAAGAGAGGCTGGAAATTGGATAGCAGGAGTGTCATAATTAGCCTAAACTTAGAACAGTCATGGTTCATGATCTGTCTCTTGGAGTTGGAAGCATGGACACCTTAAACAATCTAGGTTATCTCATCAAGGAAAAAAAGGAAATGGGTATTGAATAGGTAATTTAATAATGTGTGTCATAAAGGTATTGGGTATATTTCCAGTGATCCTTGGTGATCATGAAGAAAAGTAACACCAAAGGTCAGATATTTTAATTTTCTATTACTTCAGAAAATATAGGAAATCTAAATTTTTAGTTAAGATCCAGCTTTATCTTGGAAATTTGGAACTGAGATAAAATCACTACTACATAATCTTAATAGCAACTCAAATTAGAGTGTATATGGTTCTTAAAAAATAGTTATTAAGTGATCAAAATAAAAGTAGCTCTGAATGCTAATTTGCTCCCCCATTTACAATATTTAGAGAAAAGGTTAATGAAGCAGTATTTTGCTTTTTCACAGTACGAGTCTAAGAAAAGGGTTTCAGCAGAAGAAGCCATGAAACATGTGTACTTTCGAAGTCTGGGACCAAGAATACATGCTTTACCTGAAAGTAAGAGAAATTCTAAAGTGTCCCCCCTGCCCATCCTTATTTTCATTTGTTCAGAGTTGAAGACGGCAGTGAATTAGGGATTTAGGAAGAGATTGTTGTTGGTTTTTAAGCCTAAAATTCTAGTCTTTTTTGTAATTAGATCAGAATTCCTTAGAGGGAGGTATATGTCTTATTTGCCTATGTTTTCATTTATTTCTTTTAACACTGAGCATATTGCCGCTGCTGTATAAGAAATCAGTAGTACTTATGCATGGGTCATGAATCTTATTGGACTTAAGTTGGAAAATGCCATCTGATAATAAACATTGTTATTAGGCCCAATCTGGATTACTTAGATTCAGAGTTGTTAAAAATGGATTTCAGGCAAAGAATAATGAAGCACAACCAAAACATAAGATTGTTTTTTTGAGAAAGTAGATTTTCTTTTCAAGATATAAAGATGATCTTCCTTTACTGTGGTCACTCTGCTTTTACTGTCCCCATGACAGTGGTGAGCATATTGTCAGTCACTAAAACAGCTGATTTCTCATGCCTGGGGTAACTGATTTTACTCATAACATTCTTTTTTTTTAATTACCCCAAAATTTTACTTTAAAATTGAGTAAGGTGAGTGGAGAATTAGGAGAATATTTGGGAAGTGAGCTGCCAAAAGCTTTTGTTAATTTCCCATTCTCCTTTACTGTAATACTCATTCATCAAGGTGTGCTAATTGGAATCAAGAATCCTTGACTTTTCACTTAGGACTTATTGGATATTTTTTAATGAAAGGTCACCTCTTTGGCAGAGATTGGAAATGAGAAAGATGAATTATGAGTGTTTTTTAAGATGATATTTACATTTTATTATTAATATAAAATTTCATAGTTTGAGGTAGGCAGTTATGGTTGTACAAATCTATTCCTTGTTTTTCTCTAAAAATCTGAAGACAGTTTGAGGACCTGATACATTCATGCCATCATAAGGAGACAGATAAAGGACAGAAAGAATAAAAACCAAGTAATACATATTGATTAGGTCTCTTAACCTCAGGAATCCTAGAAACAGACTATGTGTATTCTCCTCAGAGAAACACGTACTTGAGGCATGATTTAAAGGCGAGTTGGGGAGTAAAGTTCTGAAGAGAGATTATTTTGTTTGGTTTTCTTCTCAAAATATGGGACAAAAGGGGAAATATTTCAGCAGGACTTGAACCTTGTAAATGTAGTATAAATGCTTTATGTTGAATCAGTATACATTTTAAAATATTTTGTCTATAGTTGGGTTATATTTGTTTTAATGCTGTTAGATCTTCACCTGATAATTTTTATCTATGCATTTTAGGTGTATCAATATTCAGTTTGAAAGAGATTCAATTGCAAAAGGACCCGGGTTTTCGAAATTCTTCTTATCCAGAGACAGGTGTGTTTGTCATAAACCATTTCACGTGTCGATCATGAAATTTTGCGTGGAACCAAGTTTTTGGTTTATAAATTGATCAGTAAAATTATTGATGTAAAAACCAATGTACAGTGCATTCCACAACTGTGTATGTTTAGCATTGCACGTACTCACTTTTCTGTATGATGTGGGCAGCTCAGTAATTCTTCAGAGAGAAATCTGACTCAGTCAAGTCAGGGATCCTGAAAGCTGCAGATGGCACAAAGACCTCTTACGAGTGGCCTGGCTTGATCACTGCACTCGCCATCCCTGGTACCTGAGGCAGAAGACACATCTCGTGCTTCCCTAGTCATCAGGTTCATCACTTCGAAGCATAGAAGCTGTAGATTGACCCCATCAACAAAAGGGTCATTTAAGACAGTGCTGATCACTCTTACCGTGGAATATTAGCTTTTGCTGGTGGGAACATTAGCTTCCTAGAGTCACCAAATACTGTATGTGAGATAAAACTGAACCTTGAACTGCCTCATAAAATGACTTTATATTTTAGGACATGGGAAGAACAGAAGACAGAGCATGCTCTTTTAAGTCTGATAACATGGTTTCAAGCCCAGGCCCCAGCCTTTCTTATCAATCAAGGACTCAGATCTGAAGGCAATTTTTTCTTTTGGTGGACTTGGAATCTCCGTTTGTCTACACTGTCCTCTTCACAGTGGAGTCTTTTTATTTCAGACCTACAGATTGTTTTTATATCTGTTGTCACAGTGTGACAATTTTTTTGTACAGTTGGTTTTAAGGTCTTCTCTGCCATTAGAGCCAGTAGGTTACAGCTGTTGATGTAACTGTAGCTGCAATTTTTGTGCAGGACTGAGAAACACAGTGCATTATTTATTGCGGAATCATTGCTGCTAAATAACTACTGTCTGTTTATTTAACGCAACAGTTGAATGCCTGAAGAAGTTGCAGTGGCTTTATTATATGTGAATGCATCTATTTCTCCTCACGAATTGTTTTACTGCTGCATTTTTTGTTTGTTTGTTTTTGAAATTAAACTGCAGTGTTTCCTGGAATGTAAATTTAGCTTTGCTTAACAGTAAAATAAGTGAGCCATCTCGAACACTCTTAATTTCATGCTATATAATCTTTTACTGAACATTGGCAAATAGAGTAGCTAAGAAATTGATAAGCACATTATCTTTATAGGAAAGCCTGTGATGCAGAAGTTGATTCAAGCAAGTGAATACCTGACATTTTGGGGATCTCACATTAGATACCAGTAAATTAAAGCACCAAAATTATTTATTTTTACCTTACCTGATTTTAGAAATATTTACTGCATATTATTGGATATTTGTATACTAATACACTTACCTGTTTTACATTGTGCTTTAATTTAGTTAAAACTAAACCATCCAAGTCAAGTCAGACATTAGAGGTCTTGTTTTTGTTTGTTTGAGATATAATTCTTTTCTTAGAAAGGATGATACTCCATTGGGGAACAATGTATTTCATTTGGGGGCTGTGTATATGTGTGTGTTTTAATAACATTCACTTGGAATCAGCTGAAATATGTAATATGTCTTTGAAATGAGCCATGATAAATACAAATGAGAGATATGAGAACTTAGAGGATTTTTTTAAAGCATTGTAGGTATTATCTGTTTACCAGAGACAGTAAATATTTCTGTTTTAATTATGCATCTCTTTGAACATCATAAACAGACCTTGGTGTTGGTAACAGTGTTTTAAATATTTGTGTTCACTTTTAAGGACTATTTGTTTAGTGCATCTTATAAACTACAAATCTTAATTGGTATATTTTGAAATGGTCATGTAAATTTTTGGCTTACATATCATGAAAATAGTCATAACTTAATTTTTTTCCTGAATTCACTGTAAAACATTCAGGGGTCCTACCATTTCGGTTCAGGAAATCTTGTAGTTTATTGTTATTTAACAGTATTAAGTGAACTTTTGTATATTCCCTTTTAACTTTATTTGTGAATAGTGATTGTGGCATGTTTGGGGTGTTATTTTAATATCTCATGATACTGAAATTAAAAAAAAAAAATTCTGGAAGAAACAGATTCATGTGTAATGGTGAATATTGGACCACTACTGCTTTTCACATTTGTAAATTGGTTTTATGTTAAACCCTGTAGCCTAACAAACTGCTGTTATTTCTAACTGACAGACATGTATTAATATTGTACTTTGAAGGTTATAAATATTATGTGGAAATTCCTTCATTTTGTTTTAAATTTATAATAACAAAATCTTCATGTTGTTAAAATGTGGTTTTGTTGAGTCACAGTTCTTTCTTGGGGAAGAAGTCTTTGCAGAATGGGATCATTTTCTTTTATGGGTCTCATTCTTAAGATAATGAACTCTCACTGTTTCAGTAATGATATTTAATTTATATTTGTGCTGGCCATTCATTTAGTAATCTCTACTGTAATTTTATAGGATAGCACTCTCAATTATAAAGTGTTAAATTTCTCATTTTATCAGTTATATATTTGATTTGTTGCAAACTTGACATACCTATCCAAAAGTTTGATTCTTGCATATAAAAGGTGAAGGAATATATCCAGTAGTTACATAAAATTCTTCTTCCTAGGAAGTCCTAGGGATGTTTCTTCATTTTGTTAAGGAATTTGGTATTTTTTTGATATTTGAGCATCATTCAGATCCTGAAAACTTTGCAGTGAAGAGAATTGAAACTCAGAAATTTTGAACTTGAACACTTATGATTCATCTTAAACTGACAAGGTTCTTTAAGGTAAGAGAGGATGCCTTTTTTGTTTCCCTTCCAAGTGATGTTAACACATTAAATGTGTTACTCTAGGTGTATGGAAGTGGCTGCATTTGGTGCTTTATCAGCTTATGTTTGAAAGACTGCTTGTTAACATCTTACAATAATCTAGCTTTTGGACCCAAGACAATTCATGAGATTGTTTTTTTGTGTTTTTACTATTTTTTTAAATTGTGGCAAAAATATATGTATAACATAAAAATTGCCGTTTTTACCCATTGTAAGTATACAATTCAGTGGCATTAATTACATTCAGAATGTTGTACAGCAATTACCACTATTTCTAAAATTTTTCATCGCTCCAAACAGAAACTCTGTACCTATTAAGAAATAACCCCCCATATTCCCCTCCAGCTAGCCCCTGGTAACCTTTAATATACTTTTCATCTCTGAATTTACCTATTCTGTTATTTCCTATAAATGAAATCTTACCATATTTGTCCTTTTGTGTCTGACTTATTTCACTTAGCATACTGTTTTCAGGGTTCATCCTTGTTGTAGCATGTATCAGAACTCTATCTTTTCATGGCCGAATAATATTCTATTATTGAATATACAACATTTTGTTTATCTGTTCACCTATTGATGGACACTGAGTTTTTTCCACTTTTTGGTGTTGTGAATAACGCTGCTATGAACACTGGTGTACAAGCGTCTGAGTCCTTGTTTTCAATTCTTTGAGTTTATGTACCTAGGAATGGAATTGTTAGGTCATTTAGTAATTCTGTCTTTAACTCTTTGAGGAACCACCAAACTGTTTCCACAGCCACTGTACCATTTTACATTCCCTATAGTAATGTATGAGGGCTCCAATTTCTCCTCATTCTTGCCAACACTCGTTTTCCTTTTTTTTAAATTATATTCATTCTAGTAGGTGTGAAGTGGTATCTGATTGTGGTCCTCACCAAATCTCGTTTTCCTTTTTTTTATTATATTATTCTACTAGGTGTGAAGTGGTATCTCATTGTGCTTTTGATTTGCATTTCCCTAGTGACTAAGGATGTTGAGCCTCTTTTCATGTGCTTACTGGCCATTTGTATATCTGCTTTGGAGAAATGTCTATTCCAGTCCTTTGCCCATTTTTAAATTAGGCCATTTGTCTTTTTGTTGTTGAGTTGTAGGAATTCTTTGTATATTCTAGATATTAGACCCTAAGGAGGTATATAATTTGCAGTTATTTTCTTCCATTCCATGGGTTGTCTTTCACTTCCTTGATGGTGTCCTTTTGATACATAAGTTTTTAATTTTTTTTTTTAAGATTTTATTTATTTATTTTCCCCCGAAAGCCCCAGTAGATAGTTGTATGTCACAGCTGCACATCCTCCTAGTTGCTGTATGTGGGACGCGGCCTCAGCATGGCCGGAGAAGCGGTGCGTCAGTGCGCGCCCGGGATCCAAACCCCGGGCCGCCAGCAGCGGAGCGCGCGCACCTAACCGCCAAGCCATGGGGCCGGCCCTAAGTTTTTAATTTTAATAAAATCCAGTGTATCTGTTTTTTTCTTTTGTTGCCTCTGCCCTTGGTGGCATATTTAAGAAACTATTGCCAGATCCAGGTCATGCATATTTTCCCATTTTCCTTGAAGAGTTTTATAGTTTTAACACTTACATTAAAGTCCCTAGTCCATTTTGAGTTAATTTTTATATACGTGTGGGTTACTTTCATTCTCTTGCATGTGAATATCTAGTTTTCCTAGCACTATTTGTTGAAAAGATTGTCCTTTTCTCATGGAATGGTCTTGGCACCCTTGTTGAAAATCAATTGAGCATATAGATGTGAGGGTTTGTTTGGGGGCTCTCAATTCTGTTCTGTTGGTCTACATCTCTGTCCCTCTGCCACTACCACAATGTTTTGCTTACTGGTAGCTTTGTAAGTTTTGAAATCAAGAAGAGTAAGTCCTCCAACTTTGTTTTTGTTTTTCAATATTCTTTTGGCTATTCAGGGTCCCTTGAAATTCTATATAAATTTTAGGATTTTTCTGTTTCTGGGGGAAAAAATGCCATTTGGATTGTGATAGGAATTCCCTTGAATCTGTAGATCATTTTGGGTAGTGTTGTGATCTTAACAATATTACATTTTCCAATCCATGAATGCAAGATGTCTTTAATTTCTTTCAGCAATGTTTTGTAGTTTTCAGTGTACAATTCATGTGCCTCCTTGACTAAATTTATTCCTAAGTATTTTATTATTTTTGATGTTATTGTAGATGGAATTGTTTTCTTAATTTCTTTTTCGAGCTTTTCATTGTTAGTGTGCAGAAATACAAATGATTTTTGCATGTTGATTTTGTATTGTACGATTTTGCTGAATTTGTTTATTAGCTCTAACAGTTTTTTTGTGAATTCTTTAGGGTTTTCTACATGTAAGACCATGTCATCTGTGAATAGAAATAGTTTTATGTCTTCCTTTCTAATTTGGATGCCTTTTATTTCTTTTTCTTGCCCAATTGCTCTGGCTAGGATTTTCAGTACTTGATTGAATAGAAGTGGCGACAGAGGGTTATCTTTGTTTGTACGTATGTTAGGGGAAAAGCTTTCAGTCTTTCACCATTGAGTATGATATTAGTTGTAGATAAAAGAATAAATGGTGTAATTTGTTTTTTCCTTTCCTTGTCACCTCCCCCTTATCTCAATATAGAACACAATTGATAGAATTTAAGATTTAAAAGATCAGGGGACCACTTTTCAAACCCATTCCCTTCCCCCCCCAATTCAACCTCAATAATTATATTTGTTTCCTTAAATATCTGTTTAAAGCAGACTGTATATATAGCATGTTTTGATATGCCATATTTAAGGCTAGATGACAAAACTCATTTTCCAACTTTTACCCATATGGAAAAGTGAAATTTGGATCATCCCAAGTAAATGGAAGTAAACCAGCCCACTTGCCTCCTCACACCTTTTATCACAAAGTATTTATTGAACAAAAATAATATAACAGTAAAAAAATGTTACATATGTAAAAGTGAATGAAGATAGGCAGTCATAGAAAAGATGTACACAAAGAAACCAACATTTAGGTTATAGTTCTATAAAACTTTAGCCATAGCAGTGTAACACTGATCAAGCAGACGTATAAAAAGGAAAAAAAAAGTGATTTAATATGTTCTTTGAAACCTATTTTCTGACTAAAATAGTTGTTAAAAAAAAAACCAAACACACACACACAGAATGAGGCAGAGTCATAAGGGTTTTATACTTCAATACCTCCAGTTCTCTATTTGTGTTCTAGTTTTTTGATCCATCAGAAATTTTATTATTTTTACACTTGTAATAAATGGAGCCTAAAGTATATGTTAATTATAGTATTTGGAGGAGAGGAATACAAGAATCAGGTTTATAGTCATTTGAATATTTCCAATCAGCATTTAAAAATATTTTTGGTTGAGATTTTTGCACATTAACTTCCTTTAGTTAGATTATCTGTAAGAATCTTGCGTTTGGGGTGTATTCTTCTCTTATCTGACAAAACAAATTTTTTTAATGCTCTATATTTATCTCTTTTTTTCTACCTAACATATAGTTTTGGACCAGTAGTACTTATAGCTAGGCATGGGGAAATAGAACTGGACTGAGCACCAATCATTGTTCTACCGTTAATGAGCTGTGTGGCCTTAGGCAACTTCCAGCTTCTCCTGTGCCATTGTCCTTATTTGGAAACGGTGGTGGGAGCATTCTCAAAGGCCACTTCTAGCTCTAACATTTTATGTTTGGTAAATATCAGTTCCCTGGACCAGCTCTTTTATTTTAGCACACAATTATCCTTAGCCTATGAGGGAGTGACAGTAGTGTCTGTTTGTGGATTTTGGAATCAGTCCCATTACTTTATATTCAAAGATGCATATTAGAGAGTTTGGATTTTTTCTCCTGATGAGGGCATATATGCCACACATACAGATGCTCAATTCCAATTGAAAATCTCAAAATTTATAAATATAACAAAATTTTGGATTTTTTGAAAATTCAAGAAATGTTTTTTATAAGTTTTTTTTTTTTTTTTTTTTTG